TAGAATATACTCTTCAGACATTCTGCAAAGCTCCTATTTAAAGCCCCACTGTACTACTTGTAGCTCCTTCTATATAGAAAATAATACCTAATCGGTGACCATTGGTCCCCCATGATCCTCTTTTTCTTATGTTAATTGAGAGCTGAGTTGATGAGCTTACAACCTGTCCAGTGACCTTGCAGGGTGGTCTTATCCCTCCTATAAACTAGTGTAGATGGCCTTTAAGAATGTCATTTTTTTTCTATTTCAGATTCATGAGACAGTGGAGACCATCAATCAATTGAAGGTTCAGCGTGAATTCATGCTAGGGTTTGCCAGAGATCCTCAGCAGTTCATCAGTGAATGGCTGGTATCACAAGTTAGAGACCTCAAGGTGAGTTCATGATGATGATGATGGTGATGACATCATCAGTGGTAGTGGTGATGATGATGAGGTCAGGTGGGGGAGGGGGGTGGAGGTGGTGATGAAGCTTATGGTAGTTATAATCGTTGTGGTGGTCGTGATGATGATTAGACAATGGTGGGAGTAATTGTATGGATGATGGTGTCAACTGGTGGTGGTGGTGGTGGTTGTGATGATGATGCTAAAGAACTCTTGAGAGTAGCGATTATCATGAAGAATAATAGATATGCAAATATGCTTCAATTCTCAACAACAAATTAAATTTTTCTCTCTCTCTTTCTCTCTGACGCTCTTTCTTCCTCTCTCTCTCTCTCTTTCTCTCTGTCCCTGTCTCTCTTTCTCTTTCTCTCTTTCTTTCTCTCTCTCTCTCTCTCTCTCTCTCTCTCTCTCTCTCTCTCTCTCTCTCTCTCCCTCTCTCTCTCCCTCCCTCCCTCTCTGCAGTGCATGACCGACGTGGTTAACAACCCGGAGGAGGAGCGTAGGATGGACTTCTACCACCAGCCCTGGGCCCAGGAGGCCGTTAGACGTTACTTCCAGAGCAAGGTCCAGCAGCGCCGTGCGGAGCTTGAACAGGCCCTCGGTATACGTCACACATAATCAGAAAACATTCCTCCGAAATCCTAGCATCTCGTTGAAATTCATTTCTTACAATGTAATGATCAGTAGGCATCCTTTCGCAACTTTTTTTTTTTTTGGAGGGGGTTGGGCGGGGAGAGGGTGGGTTCCTGACTGAGGTAATGTCGTATACCGTTTGTTAACATCCGTATCACTGACAATATTGTTTTATGTTTGACCAGTCTAGTCCATTGTCAAAGCGCAAATTTCATGATTCTAAATAGCAAGATATCAGTCACGTTGCTGTCCGTTATACGGTATGAAGGTGGTATGCATTAGGTCATTTTCGTAACGTAAGCCAATTTGATGCACAAATTGTTGTCAGAATCTTGTCAGAATGTGAATTGCATACATTTCATGTTGTTAGGACAAGCCATAGTGTTTGTCCTACCAGCAACAAAGACCGTATGCCATTTGCATTCTGACTGTTGAAATACAATTATTTGTAACAGGTGTTTGAAATAATCTTGTAACATGGCAGTTAACAAAGCTTTCCGCAATAGATTTGATTACATTACAAAAAATGGTCTATTTCACACCCTGTTTCAGTGTGCACAGAGATATGCCACACTGTTGTGACAGAAAATGAATATTCATACAGAGAGAAGATGAATGAAAATTTAAAGGGACAGAATCTGTGGCTACGTGTACCTGTACCTCAAACATTTGCATCATGATAGCCTCGGCCCGTCTTATAAACAGTTGATATTAATCGTAACCTTTTTTTTTGCGATTCATATCAATTGTAACTGTGTGAATAAGTAATGGGGACTGCAAACTTGCAATTGATTAGGGGACTTGCGATTAATTTGGATCGATTGCAACTCTTTTGCATCACGATTGTCTGATTCGAGGAGGGATATGGAACAATATTCTCTAACTACAAAGCTACAAATCCTCTAGAATTTCATTGCAACCTTGACTGGGTAGGAGTCTATTTGTTATGCTCCATCATTAAATAAGTATAAATAGAAAATACATCAAAGCATTTTTCATTCAAGGAATTACATGACAGACCTCCATGCATTTCTGTACGGGAATGTGGATACCGTTTGGCTTCTAAGTTTTTAATTTTCCTTTTCTATTATTTTTTGAAAATGTAAATAGCTTCTGTAACTATTTCACGTAAATCCTCCATCTTTTGTAAATGTACACTATTTTTTGCAAGCTTACAGTATTTTGCCATTATGTCTGCTCAACGAGAGGTACAAAATATTGCCATTTTGTTCTTCAAGTAGATATGCTTCATATATGTTTGTATACCTGAGCCTTGTAACATTACACTGTATAATGTGTAATATTACCGATATGTTAAAAAATGATGTACATGTATTAGGTTAGCGTATAAGTAGTGTATTGACATGTATGTTGTAGACAACCTCTGAACTCTAGAGGCTCCATGGAAAAAAAAATGAAATGTTGCGTTATTATTTTTGTTTGTTTTAGTTTCTCTTTAAGTGCATTTAATAAGTAATTTGTGTATTATGTCTCTATAAGCTGTAGATCTACAGCCCAATTTCAGGGAATCCATATATCAGAGCCCTGTTTCATGAAACTTGTTATCAAGAACAAGTTCCAATAACTGTTATAAGCTACTAAAATCGTGGCATTTAATTGGCTGATAGCAAATTTGTCATAAATTTTAGCATTGTTTATTGATAACAAAATTTATGAAACAGCGCCTTGGTTGTATGCCATGGTTTTATAGTGCAGTCTATGCTATTGTGAGGGACAGGTTTGGACGGGTCAGTTTTATTTCTTTAAGTTATGGAAATTTTTCATACTGATTTAACTGATTTCATTGAGGGCATGCAAATACAAAAAATTGCATAATGATGGCAAAAGAAAGACTGTAAATCATTGAAATCAACACAATAGCTGATGAAAGTGTAAATTACAGATAAGCTACCGGTAACTACATTCTTTGTCTTTAAACTTGTAAAATGTAATAAACCAATTTGACTTTATTATTTCACTTTCTTTTCATAATTTAGTTTCATATTGTTAGAAAAGATGCATGTGTATGATAAATGATTAAATAAAGACTCCAAATGTCCTTTCTAAAAAAGTTGAAATATTGATTTGTGTTTATTTTTATGAAGACTAGTGTATGTATGCAGACAGCCGTATTTACTGAAGAGTTAATACCACTTATTGCTCTCGGCTTATGGTTTGCAAGAGGATGATGATGATGATTGATGTTGGTGATAGTGATGATGTGGATGATGATGTTGATGATGGTGATAGCAGATGATGATTGATGATGATGATAGTGTGGTGTAACCGGGCTCTGCCGGGGTAGCGTTCTGCCTTGCAGTCTCTCAAAACCCGGTTCACGCTCTCGACAATCATTCATCGACTATATCTCTCAGTGGGCTCTCACAAAAGTATATCGTGTAAGAAATAACGTGGACTAGCTCTCATTTTACTCACTCCCGCAATCACTGAATGTCTGACAGGACTAAAGAAACAACACTTGCACAGTATCTGCAGTTCAAGTAACTTTACTCGTTCCTGATATCGGACCTGTCGCAACGACAGCCCGACGCTGACTCACAGATCACAACTATATGGAACCTGCACCAATGGCAGCTAAGCGCTGACTCCCTGACATCTCACGATGTACTCATATATATATTTCACAATTAACTATAACGCCCTCTACGTCTTACTAAACCACTGGACTAGTTATGCTACAATAGTGATAAACAGAGGATGATGGTTTTGATGGTGATGATGATGGCAATGTTGATGACGTTGGTGATTAGGCGATTGTTATGATGGTGATGACGAGGATGCTCGAATCTGCCGAGACCCACAAGAGTAATAACTTTCATACAAAGTTAATACCTTCCTTGCTCTTGATAGATACCATAGAGAAAGAAGATAGATGGAGATTACGGTAATAACTATTATTAGAATGATATACAGAAACAAGTAGGAAGATGACGATTCTAATGGAAGTTTCATGAAAGAGTCTAAAGCAATCAAGTTGAATGTATAAATCATTTAAAGATCCATAATTTCCTCTTCATTTGTATAGTTTTCCTCGCACCTTTTCTCATTATTTCTCTCTCTGTTCTTCCGCTTTCAATCAAATCATGCAATCTTGTGTATCGATTGCCTCCCACGCAGAGCAACACACACTAGATCCAAAAAACAAAACTCACAGTATGTTTATGATTTTATACAAAAATTACATTCACCTTTTTATTTGGTATGGCAACATAACAGTACTATAGTGATAAAAATGCTTACAAGATTATCGTAGCATGTGAATACAATTTTTTAATTGCCTAAGTTTAAGTTTGCCCCCATAAATTTATTTGTATTTTCAGGTTTTACCAAAAATAAAGCATCAACTGTACCATCCTGCAAAACCACAAACTTTCACGTGCATGAGATGTTCGTAAATTTCAAGAGTAGTTCAGATTAGCAAAAGATACATCCTACAAAAAATGTAAAACACAATTTACACGAGACTAAATCTTTGCAGTTCCCACAAGTTTCTTGCCATGAAAATGACCATCCTTAACAATTTAACAATTTGCTTAAAATGTCATGATGCAAAATGTCTGGTTTTGCAGTATTTTGCGATTTTAAAATCAAGTGAAAACTTGGAATTCTGCTATTCATTATATTTTTCTGTATCGTTTCAAAGGATTTGATCACATGATGTACGCAAAAATATTAAAATTTTGATATCTCAATGAGTGTGTCAGGGGGGGGGGGGGGGGGGTTGGGGGGTTCACCTCTAAAGTTTTGTATCTTGACTTTTACATAAATACAAAAGATCATAAATACCAACTAAACATAAGATGGCAAAGATAAGTGATATATCTCCCATTATTAACCTTAATATCAAACGCAACAAATACATGAACAAATAATTACAACCATCACCCAAAATATACATGATAAAAATTCATTTGAAATAATTTCTATTCCATAAATTACAAACAAATCGTGAATGATGAATACATGTTGATGGAATTCTAGAGTACTATAAACACATAGTTACGTAACATAGTCCACAGTATATGCTTTGCTTTAAAAGAATGAATGAATATGGAATTTGATATCATATTTTTGTGAAAATGTTAGTGATAACATCATACAATCATTTTTAATTGATATACACTTGTATCCATACATGTAGTGATCTGTTGTAAATGAAATATTTAGTTTTCTACTAGAAAATATATATATATATATATAACATGAAACTTATGAAATAACTGTTATTCTATTCCTCTTATACCATTTAAAGTTGTCATAATTTTTTTCACTTTACTCATTTCATGTCATTCATAATACAATTCAAAATACAATCGTCAACATACTTGTTTATCTAAAATACTGGTAAGAAATGATTACCTGTAGATTATCTGTTGAACTATTTTTATATAAATTTTTTTCATCTTCATTGTTGTTGCGGCTCGATCAAAAAGCTTCAGATACGTGCATGTAATAAATTATGTATTATTATCATTATCATTGCATTGAATATGAAATCAAATTTTCTTACTCCTTAAACAGGAGTGTCTTTTTTTACCTCTTGGACAATTTATTTATATTACAGTATTGCTTGAAATAAAGTAGACACATTACCCAGACCTGCCAACCAGTACGATTTAGTCGTATTTAGTACGATTTTTAGAAGCAAATACGACAGTACGATTTTCCTTAATAAAATACGATTTTCAACAAAAAAAAACAAAAAAAAATAATAATTTTAATTTTTTTTTTTTTTTAATTAATATTTTGTGTGTGTAAAGTCCTGTAAAGTATCCTACAAGCAATTAACATCGGCAATTTGGGGATGTTTATTGGTTCATCGAACACACCAGTCGTGACGAAATAATGCATATTCAACCAATGATCAATAACAAAAATTCTTCCTGTAGGTAGAAACTGTAAGAGGCATTGATCCACGTAACAATCTGTGTTTATTTTCAAGAATACAACTTTTGTCAGTAAAATACAACTTTTGACACTAAAGAATACAGTTTTTGAACTCCAGAGGTTGGCAGGTCTGATTACCACCAAGTCACACCAAGGTCTATGGGATAATGCATGCAGTTACGTGTGACACAGTGTGAGACTGTCAACTTTATTCCGAGCAAAACTGTATGATAATTATTTTGTCCTTGTCCTTGTGATAGATATTGCAATGATAAATTATACCGGTACCCGTTTCTATTTACATCTTTCTCATCGTAATGTGAAAATTAAACTAGTGTACACTAGAAATCAATTGATAGCTTTCTGTCATTGTTTAGTTGGAATCTTGCACAGACCAAACATACATGCAAATGTACACATGGTTTAAAGAAGTGGACTACCGAAAATAGATGCTCATATAAACATCTGATAATAAGTCTATGTGTTACATGTATATATACATAAATTGTGAATACTTTAGGAATCATTCAAAGTGCAGCAATTCACAATAGCACGAACAAACATTTAAATAGTAAAAGATTAACTTGATTTTCTGCTGGGTTACTGGAATATCAAATTTCATGTTTTCAAGAGTAGTATGAAAATATTGAATTAAAATCAAAATTGTCTTTTTTGTTCTCATTCATTGGAACCGCCAGCACTTAGGAATGAAAGTCAGTGAGTGTTCGCATATTCAACTACCAGACTACAACGAAACATTCTACACGACCACATGAATGCGAGGAATATAATCAAGATTAAAATAGTTAAATCTTCCTGGGAAGGCATTATATGTTAGTAGAAGCCCTAAAAGTAGTCAAATCCTTTCACACACATATTAACTGTAATCTTTATTCTATAATTTAGCTTTTGATAAATATATAGAGCTTAATTAAAATACTTATGAATTTATTTGATTAATATATATTATCTATTTCTTTCCATTATCTACATCAAATAATTCTTAACTACATATCACGCTTAAAATATTTACTCCTTTTAATTATAGAGAATTAAAGTATTTTCTGAATAATGAATAGTGTCCACTTTCTTTCATTTCATTTTTTGCTGAGTGTTTGTATGTTCCCTTTAAATCTATATCAATCATGTGATTGAAAATTCTTGTATATTGTAAAACAGGAATATCTTTACTATAAGCACATGACAATATCCTGTGAGCAATCTATTGTTATAACGAAGAAGAAAAACATGTGACCTGTTCCCATGACACAAAGAGGAAATTTCCACAGCCCACAGATATCCAATATCCCACAGCCAACAGAATTTTGAAAGCTTTTAACAAAAATGTTGGTATATTCTGCACGTTTTGGCAGGTGCGAACAACGATTGCACATCTTTTGTATACCGTAATAAACCGTTAGGAATAATTGTGAGTCAAGTTTCTTTGAAAATTAATTTCCATTACCAGAATTCAAGATTAACATGAAAGGGATATGGATATCATCTACGATTATCAAGAACTGTCAAATAAGCTGACTTATACTATCCCCAAAATTTGGAGCTAAGCAAGGCAGAACATGACCTACAGTATGTGATGACTGCAAACTGAGATACATTATTCTGCACTATCAAAAATCGCGCTATATTAATTCACTTCATGAAAGATGAATGACAGTTGATGTTGTGCTAAGGTATAAAGATTACCCTGTCTAGATTTTATAAATCATTTTAAAAAGTATCCTCTCGTTGCCATGGAAACAGGTTAGACATGTGCACTGTAAAATCAGCAACATTCACAACATGACAGTTTCTTATTGTGTTAAAACGGCAGTTTTACATCAAAGGAACTTGTGTGATTTCCTAAAATTTAGTGTTGCAATTCAGTAGTGCGCAGTATTAAGCACTTACACGTGTACAAATCTGGACCACTTTAGAAATCCACAAAAGTTTCTTTCATCCCTCGTGATGCCTGTTCAATTTTCATGGGTGAAAAATATATTGGGGGGGGGGGGCTATTTTCTCTATATTCTTTTTGTATTTTTTTTTTAAATAGCCTATTTTTCTCCTCTTTTCTTATGGGGAAAAAAATAAAAATAGAACAATAACATATTTTGTGGACACAGGTTTGGTATAAAAGATAACTGGTCGATGAAAATATATTCAGAGTTGAAAATGGTCCAAAAATATATTTTCCGTGCTGTTTTTTTAAACACTTTCCGACTTGTTTTTCAAATATTTTATATTGACTACAGATGTGAAAGTTTCTGGGGTAACAGTAATCCATGGTTTTTACCATATCTCGAGGGTTTGATGCTCTATTCATGCTACAAGGTTAGACTGGTCTGTGGACAGTACAGGTGGGCTGGTAACAGATGGGGTGTACGGGGGTGGGGCGGTGGTAGGCACTGAATCGGGCGTGGCCGCTGTCGGTACCCCTGCGTGGGGTGGAGGGTACGCCATTGCAGCGGAGGGAGGGTATGGCATGGCAGCCGAGGGGGGATACTGCACCGGGATGGTACCGTCGGCGGTGGTTGTATGGACTGGAATGGTGCCATCGGGTGCTGGTGCTGCTGACTGAGGAGGCATGCTGGCTTCGTGAGGGGAGTAAGGCGGAGCTGCAAAACCATAGTTGGGGTAACCGTAGTCTGCCTTGGGGAACTGGTCTGGCTTACCCGTAACCTGGCAGAGATTTAAAAAGAAGAAAAGTTAATCATTATATCTCCATTATAGACAAACAACATAATAATAATAAAGAGTATTTGTAATGCGCCAACTCATGCCACAAAACATACCACATTTCCTTTATATAGTCAGCTTTAGTTCTTCGGCCCCATATATTACCCACCAAAACTAAAATTTATTATATAAAGTTTAAAGCCCTCATCATAAATTTGATGACGCCAAATATCAAGTATAGTTATACTTTTTATATGATTTTTTGCTTATTGTTACCTTACTCTTGGTGACATACAGGAGAATGTAAAAATAAAATGACCAAATACAATGGACTTGCCCAATCAGGTTTCAGTCATTCTGAGTATGTTCAAAGTAAATATGGTGTCTACAGACATTGATTATTGTTGCCATTTATCCTCAAACGTTGCCATTTGAGGATAAAAATACAGTGTCATGTCAAATTACATATGTTAATCTCTTTCTAAGAGTGGTTGCCAAGATAGCTCTGTACTTTGGCCAACCAAATCTCCAGAAAGAAATGTGTATCTTTGTGCGCTGACTCTTAAAGAACATAGATAAACAGTTTATGATTAACTAGCGTCCTCTCGTTTCTATCTACATCTTCACAAAAGGCACTGGTTCAAAGGGCATTCTCCAACTAAATGTACATGTATACATTACATTACACAAAGCTGTTAAGTTAATAACCCAAGAACAGAAATGCTCATCTTTTTCTGCTCTTATCAAAATCAAACAATTGTTATCAAAATATTTATCATAACCCCATTATTGTGCTCACGATAACTCTACCAGACTTCGGACATACATACATGTCATGTACCGTATGTGTAAATCATTGATGTTTTGAAGAGTGCAACAAGCTTTCAATGAAAAATAAATGGACATTGGACATCCACATTTGACAAAATGACAACTTTATTACAAGAAAAAAATTGCAACCTCCATTAATTGGATGATTCCATGAAATATCTCCTAAATGACAGTCGATTGTCTATTTATGTCATCAAAAAGTGAAAAAACAATCTCTTTCTGCGACCATTGACTACCGCCAATCAGACAATCAGTACATAAAGAAATGTGTGCTAATGTCCCATATGACATACATGTATATACACAACGTTCAAATCAATAAACCCAGTTTATGATTTTATTTCGTGTGATTTTATTGCATAAGATTTTATTGCATAGGATTTTATTGCATAGGATTTTATTGCATATAAGCTTGTTTGATGATGATAAGGAGAATCATGTTCCATTATTATTAGGAATATCCAGAAGACGTCCAAAGTAAACCAAACCATTAAAATCTATGTGTAAATATTTGTCAACACAATTTATGTAAACACATCATCTGTGACATAAATCATTCTAATATGCTCTTTGACACTTTTACGATTGTCTAATCTTGAGAATGTGTACCTACAGGGGTATATGTATTTGCACTAATTTTGAAATTTGAATTATCATGTACCGGTATTTAAAAGCCTTTGATGGAGCTATACCTATTCTTCAAACTTGGCATGATATCTACAACCTTTCACCTTTAGGTGAAGATACAGTACATTTAACCTAGTTATTCTTTTAATTGGAAGGTTGCAGTTGTTTCTATTAGAATAGCTTTTTCCTACATTGTTCAATGTTAAATTAGGAAATATCTCCCTTATGTTTTAAGCTTTAGTTATCAACAGCATTTGTGGGATCTCTGCTGTCTCTCATGGTAACAAGCCTTAACCCTTTAGCAACTAAACCGCCCGATACCGCCTGTTTGTGTTCGTCCATTTTCAACGCGCTATATTATCTGTTCTAGGGTCTACCGTGATAATGTTATACGTGCGTAATCCTTACGATGTCTACAGTAGGATTCTGCACAGAAAATTAGCGCATGTTTCATATTGCTCAGAACAATGTCAAAATGAGAGCAATATTGCAACATCTTCCAGTGAGTAGTGAGTAATAGGCTATTTTTTCCAAAACCTCTAGTTGCTAATGGGTTAATCAACAGATATATTAATTCCTTCCATGTCAAGGACAACAACTCCTGTCCAAGAATTTTTAGTGTTTAATTTACTTTGACAAAGAATGTTGTTTTTTCCTTCCTAAACTGAAACAGGCTCATGTATTATTGCCATTGAAGACATTTTGTCACCCAATTATTACAATTTTGGTAAATACATTTCAGCTCTACGTTTGAGTCTTGAAAGTTAATTTGTGAGAAATGTTTATAAATATGATGGCAAAGAAAAGGTTAAGAGTCCTGGGGGTTGTTTCACAAAGATTAAGATCGACTTTAAGTTGGACTTTACTATGGCAGGCCGTTTATGCCACTGTTTGCTCTCACCATTATGATCTTTAGATAATAGTTTTTCCTTCAATTATGAATTATCAAAAATGGTAAACTCTGTATATTTGTGACCTTGACTTGTACATCCCTTGAGAGACCAATTCCAGTAAATGGTGAGAGCAAACAGTAGCATGAACGGCCTGTCATAGTACCGGTAAGTCCAAATTTAAGTTTATTTTAGTCTTAGTGAAACACCCCCAGGTCTGTTAACCTTACCTCATTGGTGCCCTCATAAAATTTTCTCCAGGCATATTAGCTCATCAAAAATATTTGATTGGGGCTATGGTTGCAGCTGGGATTTATAGGCTTGGGGTAACAGTTTATAGGGTTAAGTGTTGGGTCAGGGGTTGAATTAGGATCTTGGTTAGTATGGGAAATTATTACAGAGCAATTGTTGCAGGAGCAATTAGTGTCGTACAACCCACCTCATTGTAAGCTGGAGGACCAGGGAAGGCGCCTACTGGTGTTGCCAAGTTGCTTGGATGGACACCGTACGTGGTAGGAGGATGATGAACTTGGGTCCCGGTTAGGTGAGCGGACCGTGCCAAGCCCTCTTGCTGTCTCATGTAATACTGTCGCTTCTTGACGTAGCTGCAGGCTCCGCAGCAAGTCATCATAACCATGATGATCACAAACCTGATTGGTGGAACCAAAAATGGAACATGGATAAAGCGTTCCCCTATTGACTTATGGTAATTATAATCAAAAGCTAGAACACTAATTGAAACACAGTTGCATAAAAAAGCACTATAAATGCATTTCATCATGTCATGTATGCAGATTGATGCCATATGCGGAGATACATGGACTACACAATTTCTGACGAAGCTCGACTACTAAACATACATACCTGGTGCCAGTTGATGAAAATTAGAACAAGAAATCATATCTTTACAAGAAATATAACATACGTTACTGGTCAGTTTTAAACAAAAACAATAAAGGGCACTAATTGTTTGAGCCAAATATTCAAATTTCCCATTGAGTTGTGTGCCACTTGGTATTTCAAATCTTAGTATGAAAACGATGCAAAGAGGATTTTTCTAAACGAATCTGCAGGTATTCTATAAACCTCATAATTCTAACAATAATACAGTATGTCTAGATGCTACCCATGTTTTATTCAATTTATTCTTGCCTTCACTCCAACTGAATTTGAATTTGATTCTAAATAGGTCCATGAGTGTGTTTCTATGTTGGAAAAATCAATAACATCTGCTGAAAGCAAAAGGGTGTTGGATGTAACTGTTTTACTATTGTTAATCATAAGTTTTCATGATTACGTAAATCTATGTGCATGTGCATTTGTTAAGTAGGAGAATTGGAGATGCAATAAACCACTATAGTCATGGGTAAAACTTAGTTGTTTTTCGATAATACTTTTGCTGCTTGAGTATTCGAGAGTTGTAAGGGGCAGGAAGGGTAAATGTTAAATGATATGGAACCTTCTCATTGTAATACTCTCGACAGACATACATTATGTAGTGGCTCATCAAGGAAGCATATATCTTACCAGAAATACCACAGGTTGTAGAATCCATAGCCGTAAGCATATCCGTAATTATTTTCACCTGCGCAGCAACCATCCTCACAACAATGCTCATTGTAATCACATCTGTAAAGACAGAAAGAATAACGTGATTAACGATAAAATCCAGTTCTGCATGGTAAAAAAAAGAAAATTAATTCTCACAGAATCAAACGAAACTTACACTGAATGTTCAAGATTACAAATAAATGACATGTGCCAAACAATTTTGGAAGAAAATGTATACTGGCTGAGTAATGAGCATAGAAAGACAAGGAAATCAAGGTAACTAGCCCCGACACCATGTGTGTTGTCCCATATATAGCTTTCTGTGTACAGTGCTTGTTACTTTACCAAGACTCGGCCAAATTTATTATGATTTTGATGACTCCAGAACCTTGCAGTGCACACCAATACTTACATGCTACAAGCTCAACTGTTTCTGATCCATTCCACACCTTTTTCTTTCACAATGCAATCGCATTACCAGTACTCACCTTTATCTTTAAAGGACATACTTCAACAATTTTGTTTATATCCAGAAATATAGAATACAGCTCATTTTCCACAGATTCTTCAGACTCAAAGGCCCGAATTCACAAAGGAGGTTTGTCGACAAACCTAGGCATATGTGCGTCATATGACGCTCCTTTGTGAATGCCTTATTGTCCAATTAAAAGGTTTGTTATAATAATAAAAACATTAATAATCTTAATACTACTTCTACTGTAACTACTGTTACTACGATTGCCACTATAGAATCAACTGTCCATGGATCATCTGAACAGCACCCACACTAAACACCTTTAAGAAGCACCTAAAGACATATTTATTTTCTCAGATTTTCTCAGATTTTCTCAGATTTTCCCAACTTTATACCATGTAAAGCATGTGAAATCAATTGTGTGAGAGCACTATGTAAATGAAAATATTATTATTATCATTATTACTACTACCGCTACTATTACTACTACTACTACTACTACTTCTACTACTACTACTACTACTTCTACTTCTACTATTGCGAAATTGCTCTTATTGCCCCGATTTCAATATAGTTTTGTGACTATTATATAGAGGTATGAAACCTGAGCTTAGATTGCGATTATTCTGGCCATGTATAGTTGTATGCTGAATTTTGATAATCATTTTTCAAAGTAAAGTTTTCACAAGAAAATCAGACGGTGGTTTAAAAACATAGCCTAGCTCATTAGCTGGATAGAAGGCTTTTACAATGATACAGTTCTTGCATCAAATCAATGCATTAAAACGGGTATTACGGTGCGCCATTCATGGTCAAACAGCGTATATCATAAAAATCGTCTAGACTCTATATCAAAATAATCAAATTTTATTTTTGATAGCACATACTTTAGGCCTCTTTCTATTAACCCCTCCCCCCCCCCCCCCCTAGAATCCCATGAATTTTCCATGGGTTCTGCTAGTATTACTACTAATACTACTTCTTCTATTACTACCAATAATAATAATACAATCTTATTTATCAAGGGTAGTCTCTGATCCTCATCAATACAAATACATGTACTGTTACGACTATGGTGAGGCACTCAAGCATCCAAGGAATTCCTTCTGAGTTCCTACTAAGTACCCATTTAGTTCACCAGGGTGATTCCAAAGGCCTTTCATTCTGAAGGATTATATACTGTACAAAGGTTTGTGATGGTGAAGGTCTTTATCTACATTACTCCTCTCCACCCAGTTGTTAAATTTGTACTTGGTAGCCAGTGGGATGCGAATGTCATAATGGTTGGATTAGCATGTGCGCACTTGCAAAAAGGAGACTAGCTGGAATGCTCCCCAGGGAACGGAGAATGCACACTGTAATGTGCAGAATCAAATGACCAAGGTAATAATACCAGGGAGAATCACAGCTCCCTGATAATGTAGTAAAACTTTTGGTCAGTTGAGAGTAAAGTTCTTGAAAAGAAGCAAATATTATTGAAGAAAAAAAATTCCCAGTGTTTCATATCCCACCGCTGCCACCATATCAAAGTAACTTTTTTTTTAATTCCGAACTATCGCTGGTTTCGGAAAACAATATCGTCTGTTTGGAGCTAGAAGAGTGTTAGCACTGACTTAACTCCCTTATGGCACTAACACACGATGTCTCCTTTACTCGGGGTACTCTCTAAAAAAAATAGAGTGATCATAGACGTCACTCCTCCAGAGAGTGAAAATGTATTGAAAAAAGAAGTGAACATTCACTCCTTTCTTCTTAGAGAGCACTCCTAAACAAGTGATCACGGACGTCACTCCCAAGAAAGTGAAAATAGAGTGAAAATTCACTCTTTTTTTCAGAGAGAGTAAGCTTAATGTGCATAATTTGCATATGCCAGTTTGTGAAACCAGCAAGGCAGCAACCAAATGCCGCTTTGATGACGTATCGGTAATATCAATTTCTGGAGATTCTATAGGAACTGGCATGTATTCATATATTTGCAACTATTAGAACCATCCAGTAACACAATGCTCTATAACATGCTACAGTGAATTTATTTGTATTTTCTGACTCGGGTGTTCAAAAATGATTGCATAAACTGAATTAATTTTTTTGTTTTCCCAACTGTAATATACTTAATACTCACTCTATTCCAGAAGGACATATTTCAGCAGTTACCTGTAACATGAAGACAAAAAATGAGAATATGTTATTGTATACATTAATATTTTGACCAATCAACAGGTTACAACTTACAATAACATCACTAACAAAATAAAGCATTCATAGAATTTTCATATCATGCATGTATGTCAAATATCATGGAATATAGACTGGGTGCACTAGATGCTGAGGCCAGGATTGATGTCAAAGTCCTTATTTATATTCCCCAATATTATTTCACTATTTGTAGCTTTTTTTGTCATAGCTGTGTTAGTGATCCTCATGCTTATAGAAACGATTGATTAATATAATTTAAAACACACAGAGTAAATAACAGTAATGAGCAATGGCTATATCCTGTATAGGAAAAGACTCATCCACTTGCAATTTTGCATAAACACTTGTGGGTAGAGTCTATGGAGTGGTAAAGAAGAAACCACTGCCGTATATGTGACGAAATGAAGAGTTGCTGTACGTACTGAATGGTGGTTTCCTATTTTACAATATGGCGTAACATTGACAAATCACAAAATATTAGTTCATACAACTAAATTTCTCTTGTGGCACCCTGGATGAAAAAGAGACCTTATCAGTAATGTCAGTAAGTTCAAATTTTTCGAAACAGATGCAAAAGACAGCAAAATTTGCTGTTATTTTGTCAATATTTTCAAACCCCGATTCCAAAGAATCTTTAGTCTCGCCTCTTTCCATCGGCATCGGTCTATCAGAATTTTAAAATCTTACCAATTTTAGTGAACTAAGGTCTCAACTCACACCACCATCAGCATTACGATATCCATATTACTTGTCCTGCTTGCGCTTGTTACAATGTTAGGCATAATATTCTGTTATAAAGGCGTTTATTATGTCAGAAGAAAAAGAGAGAGAAAATTCTTCACTTGACATAATGTGCGAACAGGCTGTGTGCGAATATTATCTTTCATTACCCATTTTCTTACATTACCTCGTATATTATTAGATGAGTATCTTCCATTACTATGCAGGTCACAATCAGAGAATTATACTCAGGAGTGGTATATACCACAAGTTGCACAACATACAGTTGATAAGGATTGTTTCGTTCAGTATGGAATATACTAGTAATATACCATGATGATGTTGCATAATTATGCATGTATTGTTGGCATGAAATGATCATGATGATGTAATACTACTATACGGTGAACCTACTATACGGCCTGGTCAAAACTTACCGAACATATAAAGTCTAATAGAGTGACGAAAATCAACGCCGTTGTCGATACAATATGTACCATAGAACCCATCAGGATTTAGTAGATTATAATTTCCTCAGGAAAGATAATAAATATTAAAACAAATGCATAAACGAGAGAGCTGACTTGTTGACTTCACGATGTGCTGGGCGTAAACAAATATAATGTGTGTTGGTGTTATATACTGCGCGCGTTACTGTAGGTGTAAAGTGCATACGACTAGTCGTCTACAAGAGTGCACATTGAAATTGTGTATCCCTTATAAAATGGGAAAATGGGAAAATAAATTGTATGATAAGTGTTTAAAGAATTTTTAAAATAATTTTTTTGATTTCAAACACAGATATCTTTAAATTGATAGCCAAAAGTTACACAAACTTGGTATACAGTTCAAACAATTATAACTTGAAGACTGAAACAAAACTAATAACAATGACGTAATGCTAATATAAACAGACTGTTGTGAAACACTCCGTTTTCCCTTATATGGGGGAATATTCTTATTTCTTGGAAGAAAAAAAATATATAATCACCGGATATGGAATCCTCACGGTGAATGTCCCCAGGACATTGCTGTCTTACAGATGTACCAGCAAGAAATAGATGATCGAAGTCCTAAATCGTTAAAACAGTAATACAATTTTATTAATTCTTATGCTCATATCTTTTTCCAGGCATAGGCTATTATAGGGTATTATGGAAAATTAACATTTCTGCGGATCTATAATATTAATTATTATGTCGTTGCTCCAGCCCAACTCCATGGAAATGGACGATTTAATAGTTGAGAGCCCGTGACTATAGGATCACTTCGGGGGGGGGGGCGGGGGTGCAGACATTATTTGAGGTGGACGTATACCCTTTCGTCGATGCGGGCGAGGGAGGGATGTCCCCTCCTAGGAAAGGGTGTTTTCAACTGTTAAGGTACAACTTGATTTGAATACCAAACCGTTTCATCAGTGTTTTTGTTTCTATCTTTCTTTTCTGTTAGCGAACCTCTTGTCGCTATACTATAGTCACGGGCCTGATGCCTCCGATTCGTTAAATTTGTTTTCCCTCATTTTATAATAATAATAATAATAATAATACAATCATTCACGAGAGCGTAGAAACTACAAGAGCTCCTGATATGCTTAGATTTACAGTTCAGAATTTTACAGTTAATTTTTTGTTTTTTTTAAGAAGGAGAAAGAGAGAAAAGGATTTAGAATTGATGAAACGGATTGCATGATATGTAACCGGCGAAGACAAAGTGTGCATTAGGATTCAACCAATATCAAAGGCCTTGATTCAACTTTACTTTTTTTTTGTGATCAATCAGTTGCAGTAGTAGGCAACATCGGGGATGCCAATTCTGAAACTCACGTAACTTCCCTTTTAACTTTCATTTTAAGACCTGAAGTTATTTAAAGGCTAATTAGGCTATAGTCTATAGACCTCAAAATCGTTATCCTGAAAGCAGTGTGTCATTACAATATCCCCCTGGTCTCCGGCTCATTTTAGCCCATTTCCACAACATCAGATACACAACGGAAAATGATGTGTACGGAGCTCAGCAGTTCAATATTAGCAAAATACCACTGCCTTCGAGATCCGTCCGTCGTATTGAAATTAATCAAGTAATTGAGTTATTTAATTAAACATGATGCCATTCCGTTTCGAGGCAGTAATATTGGAACGTCCACTACGTGACGTATACTATACAGTACTAGAGTAATGACCCAGGAAGAAGAAAACGAGAGAAACAGGTCAGTGAAATTTTTTGATCAAAATCCGATTGAAAAATTAAAAAGTTTTAAATTGATAACAAGTAAAACAGACTGGTAATTGAGCTTCCAGAATACTGCATGCATCCCCTGACTGGGTGAATTAATTGTCACTTTATCCCATTTACAAACTGAGTTCAAACTTGAAGCTAAAGCTTTGAGGCCCATCTTCGTTGAACAGGAATAAACGCGAAAAAGAAGAAATCAAAATATAGAACTAGGGGAGACAGGCATGGGTGTCGATCCGTAACTGCTGATACCTATTCATCAGGGGGGGGGGGGGGATGATCTATTCATTCATCCCCCCCCCCCCTGATGAATAGGTATTACGTAATGATCGACATCCATGGAGACAGGCGTAGATCCGCATTGAAAAAAATGTTTTACATTGAAGGCAGTGCCTTTTGAAGGTTGTAAGGAGTAGGCCTGTAACTATTCTACTTTTATAGCTGCATCATAAAAATCTACTAAGAATGACATCAGAATTGAACACATCGTGTGCAAAACTTGCGGCGCGAAAGCTGTTTAGAGGGTGGTGTGCAAAACAACGCGGATGCCTTGTAAAACGCCATGTTGGAGAGTTAATTGAAACTGAAATAATCGAGTGATATTTTTAAATGCGGAGTTTTTCGTTCTTACACTATGGTATCGTCTCGGATTATCGCGCTCAAACATTATGTTATGTTGTGACATACGAATAAACGAAGGTATATGGTCAAGGGATTATATTTAGTGTCACAGTATTATTCCCCTTTTGTGTAGGTTGTGAATATTATACTTCCCTAGTATAGAGAATCATTCAATCAAAACAGCTGAGAAACCGTTCGCCGCAAATTCTGCATACGGTTGTTACCGGAGTAAAAAGTGGTAGTAATTTTATTTTTAAATCTATATTTATGCAAATCGTATTGAGCTGTTTTAGACCTACATTTTTGGTCATAGTATAACAAATTATGCTTTTATGGGAAGCTTTTTTCTTGCAAAAATGTTTTTCACTAAACTTGTGAACACTTAGTTCGAAATAAATAAGTAAATTCTATTTCTATTAGTTGGTCATAAAACTCATAATATATCCTTTTGTTTTAATGTTTTGTTTTTTATTTTTTATTATTTCATTATTCAGAGATTTCTCCATCCGGTTTTTCAGATAAAACAATTACTGATTCCTAAAAAATCAAGTCTTCACAGGTAAACTTTTCGGGCTGACATTTATATCACCCTATTTTCACGGTTTAGAAATTAAGATGATCAGTGAGTTATTGACAGAGGGGGCATGTGTCGTAGGCGGAGTGAAGGGGGCGCAAAAAGGAAAAGGGGGTGCATTCTATTGAGGGTTAAGCATCCTAATAGACCAATATGTACTAATCATTTACCTTGCGTATTGGTAAATTATACATGACTTGTATAAGAAATATTTTTTGAGGATTAAATTGCGTCCTCGCATATTGCTTCACGGTAGGCCTATCTCATAAGTCCACATCCTGAAAGAAAATGTAATTCCCGTTGACGTGCTTCCTTCCGAATAAGCCTTTGTAAAATTTGTCAATCTCTTTTTCAATATTGCCCCCACCCCCTCTTGTTCCATGAATAAACAATATAAAGCGGGAAAAAAGGGAATTTGCGCAGTCATGTACCGTTTTGAACGAAATTCTGAACTTTCGGTTAGAAAATCCGGAGATGAATATTCGACCAATTTTTTTCTTCTTTTCTTTTATTAAAACAAAACATGGGAAACACATATTTAAAAGATTCGGTGAAGTGAAGAAAAAAATAGTACAAAATACAAAATACAAAATTGACCAAACTGCTCATTGTTTCCGCTAATTTTGTGTTTATTTAGTTTTATGTAACTACAGGGAGATTATATAGTGAAACTGTAAAAAAAAAATATTAAAAAAAATTGTATACGGCTAGGTCGCATTGCTCCTTCGCTTGTCAAATTATGGGGGAAAAGATATTGTGAACTCAAAATAAAAATCTTTCATATAATTAATGAGCGCGTAAGCGTGAGCAATTTCGTAATGGGTTCAAGGGGAGAAACCCCCGGACGCAATCCATTTCGTTCAAAATCAGTTCTCTTTCATAATTTGCCTATACATGATTCTCCTGTGTTGATGCATTGGAGTCCAGGGAGCGGGACCCTCTGAACGCTCTTGATTTTGTAAGAAAATCATCTCTTTTTTCATATGACTATTTTACTTCCGTCCGAAGTCTTCGTATACATTTTGTATAGGCACATGTAGGACAAGTCGTCGGCAATGTATGTAATGAATTGTAAACGTTTTAGTTTCATGTTCTATTTTTGTATAATTTTTTATGATTATTATCTTCTTTCTTTCTTTCTTTCTTTCTTTCTCTCTCTCTCTCTATATCTCTCTCTCTCTTTCTCTTTCTCTCTCTCTGTCTCTCTCATTTTCCTCTCTCCATCTATCAGTATCTTCCTCTCTTTTAAGTGCTTTCTTCTCTCATTTTTTCTTCTTAGTCGCTCTCCCTTCACCCCCCCCCCCTTTTTTTTTTAGGCCACAAAGGGGGACGCTGGGGCGATTCGCCACTGAAACTAGTGTAGTGTGTTCCCGTATATGCTAGCCGTATTTTTTTTTTAATTTGAAAATACGTGTAAAACTGATACACAGAATTGTTCTTGGTTCGGATTGAATATTGAAGTTTTGAATTTAAGTGAATTCAGAATGCTGGTATTTATGTCTACCATGAAAATGTGTCATGTGTCGGAGGAAACCTATCTTTCACCCTGATATATAAAACATTGATATTTATGGGAACATACGCGTGTTATTGTACCCTATAAGGTCGAATTAAGTTTTCTTACCCTTTTCCATTAAATGATTGTGAGAATGTGATTTATTCTCGATTTTTAAAGTTTATAGTTATTCTATTAAACAATTACTGTGACCCTTAATTGATCAATAACGTTCTGAGAAGATATAAACTCTATCAATAAAACGTATTGTCACAAACACTTCATGACAACAGGCCCGGGGCGACGATCCCCCGGGGGGGGGGGGGGGGGGAACGGGTGTTACACAGGCGTCCCCCTCATTTTTTTTTTTTAGGGGGGGGGGGGTTCGTCCCCCCGGAAAATAAGAAAAGTGCTTAAAAAATGTCTAGCAAAGACTGACTGACTAAAGACTGTTAGACAGTCTCTGGATCGACGGGCCCAAGAGTGCAGCTTTTAATAAAAATGCAACAATAATATCCGTCAAAATGTAAAAGTAAATATTGTAGAAAATCTGTATTCCATTGGTATCACGAAGCATTTCCTACTGAAAGGTCAACTGTGTATACAGAACAGAGTATAGCCTTTCAGAATATTTGCCGACAAAAACATCCCCTCAATAGACATCATGTAAATGTTTCTTGTTTACGATTTTACGCTACCATACATTGTTTTCCAATAATCAAGTCTGATATTTCAGTCAATCGAGAGCAATCTGGGGCATCAGCTAAAGACGAATTCAGCAGATCAGTGGTAAAAATGCTTTTATCTTCAAATTATACATAGTTTTATGATATATTTATGGGTATGTAATAGGAACTTAACATGGATTTTACAGATTGTTGTTATTTGATGATGACTGGTTGATATATGTTTTGTTTCGCATGATTTTACTAGGGCAAGATCTAACTTTTAGGCATGTGACTTTTTTTAGTGTGATTGAGCGTGTGAATGTAATGTGGGTGCGGCGCTTTCAGAGGTGTTTGTTGCGATGAGGTCAGGATTGTACGAAATTGACAAATTGGGAGGGGGGGGGGCAGGGGGTGTCGGAGAATCAGAGAATAAGGAAATAAAGTATCGTGACCGTCCCTAAACGAGGATTGTCTTTGTAAACGCGGACAGACACGTCCTTTAAAATAGGGATTGTCCACGACCACATTTCCGATCCGTGCGTCGGCGATAATTATCGGCAAGACTTTGTTGCCTCTACGGAGAGCTAAAAACAATACTTATCGTCAAGACTTTGTTGCCCCGACGGAGATCTATAAACAATAATTATCGGCAAGACTTTGTTGCCCCTACGGAGAGCTAAAAACAATAATTATCGGCAAGACTTTGTTGCCCCCATGGAGATCTAAAAAAAATAATTATCAGCAAGACTTTGTTGTTCCTACAGAGATCTAAAAACAATAATTATCGACAAGACTTTGTTGCCCCTACGGAGAGCTAAGAATAGGGTGTCTGAACGATTTTTCAATTTTCAATTTTGGATCGTTTTTCACCATTTTTGTTTGATATTGGAATAACAAATGTAATCAGAATAATACCTTTCAAATTTCAAGACTCACCGATGTTTCTATCAAAAGATACAGCCCCTCAAAAATTGTGCAATATTCATCATAGCATTTTGGTCAGAATGGACAGAAAAGTGGTTCACGCAGAGTTATAATTTCTGCTCAAAAGCTGCACAGCTAATGCACAGCACGATATGCAAAGTGTGGAGCAAGGGTATTTTCAAACTGTTGTAACAAATGATCCCTTGGGACTAGAGAAAAAATAAGTGCATGGATATATTCTTTACAGCTGGCCCAACTTATCCCTCGGGGGAGCAGTTCGTGAAATTGGTAAATCTCCGAGTTACCATGGAAACGATGTTTAAATCGCTGTTTTGAGCAAGATATTTTTAGAATTCCGGGGGTGGCCCCCTATGGGGAATATGGAGAAAAACCTGCTCTTTCATATGACACCACATTTATTGAGTTTCACCTTCAGGATCATTTGTTATAAAGGTTTGAATTTCAAATTTTTCATAAAACCATTGACCAATTTTGCTTGGTCGCGCAATGCATGTAGACCACATAGGGATGTGTGCAATCTCTATGGGAAAGATTTTAGCACACAACATCGGGTGCGCGATCAGACACCCTACTAAGAACAATAATTATTGGCAAGACTTTGTTGCCCCCACGGAGATCTAAAAACAATAATTAGATCTATCAGCAAGACTTTGTTGCCCCTACAGATGTAAAAACAATTATTATCGGCAACACTTTGTTGCCCCTACACATCTAAAAACAATAATTATCGGCAAGACTTTGTTGCCCCTACGGAGATCTAAAAACAATAATTATCGGCAAGACTTTGTTGCCCCTACAGATCTGAAAACAATTATTATCAGCAACACTTTGTTGTCCCTACAGAGATCTAAAAATAATAATTATCGGCAAGACTTTGTTGCCCCTACGGAGATCTAAAAACAATAATTATCGGCAAGACTTAATTGCCCGTACGGACATCTAAAAACATGTCTTCATTGAAATGACTGAATACTTGAGAATTTACACACATGTTGAAATAGACTGTGTATTTTCAAAACGGCTAATCGAAACCGCCCGTATACATTTAAGGGTTAAACTTTTAGCACTAAAAACGTAATGACCCAGGCCTAATAAATTACAATTAAATTCAGTGTTTTTTAAGTGAATCATTCTGATTGGTTGTGCCCTAGTTTTCAAACAAAGAACTTTCATGTATTCATGGAACCATCATGTAACTTTTACTTTCTTTGTAAGCTAGTGGCAAATACTGGCATTAAATTATGATTCAGCTACCTTTGTAATTCAACATGATGGTTTTGAAAACTTATGAGTTTGGTATGTTGCTTTGAGCTTTGGTCACTTTACTTAAGATAAATTCAGGCAATTTTAAGCTGTTAAAGCTGTTTTTGCGAGATTTATTTGTATTTAACACCTCCTAATTTGATCTTGTGTTCTCTTTTTATCTCTGCTTCGTATAGGTACTTTTGTAAAACACCAAGTAATCTTGCTCAGCAGAGGGGAGCCACAGGTCCCATCCTGGTCAACAGCAGTGAGCTGTAGGTAAGTAGATAAGCAAATAACCCTTGCCCCAGTTATTTTGGTAGCTAACGGGGAAAGTAACAATATTGAACGATTTGCGATAGGCAGGTACAGGGTAGAGAGAGTACAGGCTCTCTGTAATACATGTACATCAACTCCGGCCACGCAGTGTACAAACTGCCATCATGGTTCAGCTGCTGCCAATGGCAATACAATCAATTTGTAACACCCACTTGCAATAAATGTGACTCCAACTAGAGCAGCTCTTTGCAAAGTCTACTCCACTGTTTGTTACTATACGATAGGATCCGAGCAATACGTACACAATATGATCATACATGTAGATGCCTTTAAAAGAATATGTGATGGATAAAAGAGTCCTCAAGAATTTTGCAATCAGAGACCCTTGTATTGGCCATATTCTTAAAGATATTCCCAACATTTTAGGACGTAAGATGAAATGCAATGCTGCAGTATATTTCTGAAAGATCTCAGTTGATATAGCGTACAGGTAGTGCCAAATTGCTAATTAGGACATATGAATGATCCATAATAAAGAAGTACATTTAGGAATCTGATTTTAATGTGGCTATGAAAGAAACTATATGAGCTAATTTTAGCATGCATGCCCTGTTTTTGTGCGCCCTCTTTGCCAGGTTATACCTCTACCGGGAGCGCAGTTGTGAATCCGTGCAGCCTGCTGACAAATCGGCGTGCAAAAGTGTTGCATTAGGAGGCGCTGTGTCTACTTGAAAGTGTGAAGTCAGTCATCGCTCTCCAGCCTGCTGCAGCTTGCCCAAGCCTGCCTGCATAAGCGCTCCGCTCTGCAAGCTTTACCAAAACAATAAACTGACCTGTTTAGTGACGCTTCGGTGAGATTTGGTTTTTTGTAATAGACCCTAAAAAGAGTTAGAGCATCATGGTAAAGAATGGTAATGAAGACGGAGTTTGCAGGGATTTCCTGCGCAATGTTTGCAAACGTGGCAATAGGTGCAAATTTAGGCACCCCGAGCAGGGGGAAGTGAAGAAAGAGCTGCAGTTTTGCCATGATTATCAGAACAAAATGTGCATGCGAAGCAATTGCAAGTTCATCCATTGCAGCAAAGAGGATGAGGAGTATTACCACCAGACGGGAGACCTGCCCCCTGGCACCGAGGAGTCTGCTGCTAAGAGTTCCTCCTTCACCGAGGGATCTGATGGTGAGATCCCAGTTTGTCGTGATTACCTGAAAGGAGAATGCTCCAGGGGTAGCTCTTGCAAATACCGGCACATGAGTCGTGGGGATGTGGAGTATGAGCAACGGTCGCGCAGCACCAGCAGGAGACCACGCCCTTCAGGTCCACCACCACCACCTGATCGTTACGCTGATGAATACGAACACGAGCGCTACAGGCGATGGCTTGAGCACTCCAGATACGAGGACTTTGATCGTATGGATAGAGATAGGTTCTTCCGTGATAGGGAGCCCAGAGAGCCAAGGGAGGCGCCCAGGGATTCCATGGGCTATAGGTCCAGCCGTGATGCAAGAGATTTTGAGGAGGAGAATGTTATGCTGCGCCGCAAAAACGAGGAGCTGCGCAAAACAGTTGCAGACCTGACCTCCACCAATGACGTCCTCCTTGAGCAGAATGCCCGCTTGCGTGCTCTGCGTGCAGAAGCCACCTCGGCTGTCTTGCAGGCTGAGACCCATCTGGTTAACTCCACCGCCGCTGGTCCCCAGCTCTCCCAAGGTAGGTCCCTTGGTTCCTCAACTCACCATACTGTGGCTGCAACAGGCCCCCTTATGTACCCTGCGCGGGTATCCCAAGTCCCTTTAGTTGGAGATAACTCCCTTCCTGCCCCGGGTACAGCTCAAGGCACACAGTTGCTTGCCGCTCCCATGCAGCCGGCTGTCTTAGGGGTATCAATGGCCCAAGCCCAAGGTCATCAGATCCCTATGGCTGTAGGCGTTACTGCCTCTATGGTTACCTATCCTATGGTGTCCCAGACATTGCGAAATGCAGCAATGTCTTAAAATTATCATTTTCATTGTTTAAACAAAAAAATTAAAGCTAGAATAACAGTGCAGGATGCAATATTCTGTTGTAAATGCTGTCAATATATTAATTCCCTTGGTGTATTAATCCTCTATGTAACACTTACCACTTACGCATCAGTAAATAGTTCTTTTATTTTAATAAGTAAAAAAAAAGTTAGATTTTGACTTTTTCATTCCACCATAACTCCGGACACAAAAGTGCGTCCATGGTGTTAAACCTTTACATTGTCATGTTCCTATTTTGTGTTTCAGGAAGCGAAACAGATTACCTTGCCCGGCGGAGCAGTGCAATTACAGATCGAACAACCATTGGAGAGTACACTTCGTTTTAAATAGGATATGCATTAGTTTTCTTATTGAAGTAAAAAGGAAAGAAAAAATAACTAAACTTCTGTTGAGAAGCCTTCTCCAAAATCACACACATATAGGTGAACAGCAGCAATAGAAAATTACAGAAATAAACACTTTTGGATTTGATAGTTGAAAGAAACGTCACTGTAGGGAAAATTTCTTGAATACAAAATAGAGAAAAAATGAGACAAGAAACTACCCTAAATCCTTTTTCTTTCACTCACTGTTCAAAATAATCATTTTCATACAAATGTTCTAAAGAATTTCCACAACTTGCAATTTGCAGTGTTTTTCTCGCTACTTATTTTAACCCTGGTTCAAAAGAGCTTTTAAAAATAATTGATAAAATGACATGAAAAGCCTCAAAGCTGTTTGCAGCGCTGTTGAAAACATGCAAACTATTCAAGCCTACACTCCTGTAACAATAACATGAAAGTATGACTGTTGATATTGTAAGTTCATGGGTTTTAGTTGCATGCGCAAGAAAATGAATAAGCTGCCCGAGCATATGTTCCGTAGCACGTAGCGCATGTGCATTAAATGGAAACATGCATTTTGAAATTAAGCCAAATGGACGAAATTAACTTGTCTCTGACACTAAAAAAAGAAAATAGTGGTATGGAATTCTACCACTGGAGAAGCGTTCCATATTTCCTTCGCAAATTATAATTTTACCTTGTAAATATTTTATCTCACATATATTGAGCCATCAAATACAACTTTGTGCACTTTTCTTACATGACTGTTGAAAACATTGGATCTGGATATCAAAAAGGTTTGAATAACCTCAATGCCAATTGCACTGCTCCGTCGCGTCGTGCTGCGCTAGTGTTGCATGTAAACTCCACTAGGATTGTACGCTCGCCGCGCCAATAGCGTTTGGGGAAGATTGTGTATTGCTTGCAACATGCCAATCAGCTAAGATTATATGTCTGCCTTGATCAGGTCGTATTGATCAGCAATACTATTCGATTGTATGTTCACTTGAGAATTCTGCTTGCAACTGACAATTTCCCCTTCCAAACATTCAACATACCGGTACTGTAATCGCTGTTATTTTCGCATTGAGCGACCCCAAAATATATACGCGGGTTCTTAAATTCGCGTTGCACGCAAATCAGCGTGTTCAAAACATGCATAAGAAGCCATGCTTATATCTTTGTGACTGCTAAAATTTGCGCTTGCCGATCTCAGCGCAAAATCTGCGAAAAATTACGGTACCGCAAATATTTCTGCGTAAACTGGAACATACAAAGAGCGTTTGCATGGGGGGAGCCACAAGCAACACGCACACACTGCGACTGCACATTCCGCGTGCTCTGATGTCTGCCATTGCATACACTAACAGATGTTTATGAAGGTTTATCCTTTCTTGTTGTTTTGTGCAGGAATGAACTTGGCAATGTAATAGTGGGGCCGCGTGTTATACTTCAGATCAAGCCACAAGCAATCTTGGCAGATATTTAAAAAAATTGATCAGTAAGTAAATGCAAAAAAACAAACAAAAAACAACTGCTGAACAGGTATTGTACGAGTGATTTTTTTCTTCTTTTTTCTCTTGCAGTTTCTCTCCTTTTGTAGATTGAGAAATTTTACACCTACACCCTGTATATAAGAAAAAACTTTTTGTAATGTTAAGGACACCATAGTCAGAAGCCTCGCATTAATGTTCAAACCAGTCCAACGATAAGATCGACAAGAAAATGGTATTATATAGATATTTTTTAGGGTTGACCGATATGTGTGTATATTAGCCTTTTTTTAAATAAATGCTTTTGGCCAAAATGTTGTTACAGTATTTCGCTAGTTAACCTGTATCAGGTTCATTAGTCAGTCTATGTTCAGTTTAAAATCTTAATTGCTCGGACTAATCCATGTAGCTTTCTTTTTGTGTATCAGCCTTGTTGAAAATCTTTTAATCAAATTCATGATTGTAGCTCTAAAATCTCTTGTACATGAGAAATAAACCAAGTTGTCAGGTCAAACGCTGGCACATAGTACATGTATATTTTTGTTATATATATTCAGATTTAACATTTAAAAGCTTTGTATGTTATGAAAGAAGTGATTGAACTTAACTTTGATTGTTTTTCCTCTAATGGCCGAGAAATTAGGATTGCTTTAAGCAGAAATATGGTATTGCACTCATAACCGACTGTCATTTCTGTGAAAAGAACCATAATAATCTTTCTGTTTGTTCATAAATGCAGACTAAAAATGATGGCCATATGTTGTTTACCATTACCAAACAGTTACTTATAATATGTTACTGTAGACAGACAATCAGTCATATTCCCAAGTTTTTCTTTTGGTTTCAAAACTGTTGTATGCTCAGACGATTTGACAAGATAGAGTATATATTGCTTTTCAACAAAAATAGGAAATAGATATCCATTGCGCACAAAATTGTAATTTACACCTATCGGCTTGTATAACATGGAGCCTGAAATGTACATATGCACAGGGATAATTGCTTTAGTGCTCTGTAATGTCCACGATACTGTTTTTTAGCTGGATATTGAGCAATTAAAAATGTTCTAGCTATGTGATTGATGAGTTTATATTTTGTGTACATGTATCACAACTTTCATGTTTTAATTTTTGTTACTTTCTTAAAATATTAACAAAGCCCAGTTCATTTACTACTTGTAAAATACTTGGTGAAAATAGGTTTGGAAATCATCTCTGGGAGAAAAAAATAACTATTTCAAATCCAGTCATCACTGTTGATATTTGTACATTATTGTTAGGTAAAATGCGGTGCATACACTACTTTCATTTATTTGCTCGATAGTGATGTTCGTTTTGGGGAATTATGAACTGTTTGTCAATTTTACAATTGCAATCATGATGTATCTACTGTATACGGATAAGTTGTTTTCTGTTTTGTACACTTAAACATGTAAGGTTATAAATGTTGAATCACCAAGCTAGTGCTCTTTGTATTATGGTTACTCAGTTAAAGATAAATTTTGAATTGTGCCAATGTGATTAAATGTTGCTTTTGATTCTGAACCTGATCCCATTCTAGCGCTTGTGTCTCTTTGTTTTGAATGTCTCACATTGTTTGTCACTGTTGTGTGCGTATGAATATAACTATGTATATGTTAGTGTGTTGAATGGATGGATGAGAACTACAGGAAGTCGAGGGGGCTTGATACAGTATGTGACCCAAACCCAGTTCACCTTTGATTTCCTTTCCTTTTTTTGGCCCTAATACCCAATATTTCATCTTAGAGCCCAAAAATTATTCACTTACATTCTCTGAAACTCTTCTGGCTCTTAAACATAAGGCCCATAGTTATGTACTATTAATTTAAATCCACACCTTGGAAGAAAAGGTGACCAGGGGGGCGTTTCACAAAGACTAAGATCAACTTAAGTCGGACTTGGAACTGGCAGGCCATTTATGCCCTTAGAAAGTCTTGAACCAGATGTAAAATTAGAGGGGAAAAGCCTTAGAAATTATATTTAGATCATGTTTTTTCCTTCAATAAACTATTTTTAAAATGTGAATTTTGTAGATTTGTGACGTCCTGTGAGAGACCAATGGTGAGAGCAACAAGTGGCATGAATGGCCTGCCATAGTTCAAGTCCAACCTACTTAGTCGATCTTAGTCGTAGTTGAACACTCCCCAGATAGTCATTGGAAAGATCAGTGGTGAAGAAAAGAGGTGAGGTGTAGATAGATTTGATTGATAGAAGGGAATGAATGGGTGTAAGATGAATAAGGATTTGAAATAAACATTACAGGGAAAAGAAGGAATGTGAGATGTCTTGTAATGAGAAAGGTATATGTAGATGGAAAAGAGGGTGTGAGATGCATAGTAATTGGAAAGGTGGATGGAAAAGAAGGAATATGAGAAAGATAAATGTAGAAGAAGGGGTGTGACATCTTTAGTGACTGAAAGAGAGATGGAAAAGAAGAAACGTGTGATGAAGAGTTAACTCTGCATACCGGTAACTTGAAGTTGCACAAGTCTAACTTTTCTCGAGTCAAATTAAATAATTTTTACCAAACAATGCCAAACGTGTTATTTACACTTACAAAGATGAATTCTATGTAAGTCAACGTATGCAGAGTTAATTGTTTTATGTATGGAAAGAGATGGAAAAGAAGGAATATGCGATTGGAAAGATAGATGGAAATGAAGGAATATATGATTGGAAAGATAGAGGGATCGATAAATGGTAAAGAAGGAATATGTGATGTGAGAGGAAAGATGGAGAGATCGATATATGGTAAAGAAGGAATATGTGATTGGAAAGATAGATGGTAAAGAAGGAATATGGGTTATCATTGGAGGATAAAATGGGGAATGTTAGATATACAGGCAAATTTTTGTGCCCCAAAGTACATAGAGCATTGCAAAACATTTTACATGTGCAATAAGTGGTTCCTGTTTGGAAAGTGAGAGGGGATGGACCTCATTTTATTCTATCTACCTTCAATATTTGAAAGAAATCGACAGCTCAATGTTATAGCTCAGGATTCTTATTAATTTTTAAAATCAAGTGAATAAGAAAAGATATAAGTCTCCCCCACCAAAAAAAATCCTCATTTAAAAAATATATATATACAATAAGAAGAGCTCGGGAGAGCAAAAAAAATCATCACTTTTTTGGCGACTTTGTAATATGATTATTTTATATACAGGATACCGGTATGTACAATTTTCTTGACACTTGAGTCCACAGAGTCATTACAAATACAAACGGATGCTGGTATACTGGCAGGTGCCACTGATTCTAAAGGAAACGAGGCTCTTTTCAAGTTTGTGGTATAAACCAATCAGTATTCCTAGCCCTGTCCCATTTGATTGATTATAGACACATTGGTCGCGTGATATTCTGTGTCAATTTCAACGTCAATTTAAAGGGAAAACAAAGCTATTTTCTGGTTCCTTGAATATAAACCAATTGCTATCCCCACCCTGTCACGATTTACTGGTCACAGAGTGCAGATAGCCAGATACTAAAAAAGCTAGCATATATATATTTTTGGCATTATGTAGATTGTGCCATTGATTTTAAGGATTTAAAGCTGTCCTGTACATTTTACCATCAATTCAAAGGGAAAACCTAGCTATTTTCTGGTTCCCTGGGTATTAAATAATCCAATTTATTTATTTACAGAGTGCAGACACTAAAAAAAGCCAGCATATATTTGTTGACATTCTATAGATTATGCCATTGATTTAAAGGGAAAACAAAAAGATTCCCCCGACCTAGCGTGTATATATCCAACAATATCCCATTTACAGGTTGAACTGCCTATTTTATTATACACGACGACGTGAGTGTTCCTAGGTGATCGGCATGTTTCTAGTTGGGTTGACTGGCGGTATAGCATCGGGGAAGAGCACCGTATCGAACGTTCTCCGAGACCTGGGGTGCGTTATCATTGATGCTGATAAGATTGCTAGAGAAGGTAAGTCGATCGTGGAATTGGAGACCACTCCCCGATTGTGCTGGTACACACTAGGCCTGTCATCATCAGCTCAAGATTGCCAAATATCCCGCTATTTTAAATATCCCGACCGTAAATTATCCAGTTAATTTGCGTCTTTATCATCCCAAACATATCTTGGGATAGTTTGCAAAATATCCCGCCATTTGTCCGGTGCATCTTCACCAGCCTGAAGACTCCTACTATGCGCGAATGCTGAGCAAAATATCTTGAGCTAATTTCTCGAGCTTGAGTTTTAAATTTCGAGGTGATGAAGACGCGATTTGTAACTTCAGGATTATTTCCCAAATCAGAAAAAGCGGGCTATTTGGCAATCTCAAGATGATGAAGACGGGCCTACTTGCTTGTGTAATTTGCAGTCTACCGAAGTAGAAAGAAGATACCATAACCGTTTGATGGACTGAAGCGCTACAATCGATACAGGCTTTCTTAATTCACGATAATTTCAAAGTAAATTTTTAGGGTTTGGGTGGGGAGTATTAAAACTTGCATGTCCTGGACATTGATTTGCATGGTTTGTTCAGTATGAACAATCTTCATACAGTGGAATTTCGTCAAAACAAGGTCCTTGGGACCAAGGAAATTACCTTGTTATACATGAATCAGGAATCTTATTATCTATCGGGGTAAGAAAACAAGTTTATAAAGAGCTGGGACTAGCAAAATCAGCTTGTTATATCAGAGCGCTTTATACTAAGGTTCCACTGTAGTTGCTAAAATACATTTGGCCTGTGATGCACTGCCTGCAAAGAATGGTTGAAAAGCAAGAAACTTATTTTAGTGAGTACAAACAAAAGATATTTTTTGAAAATAGTTTGAAGTAATATGAAATTGATAGAATTCAGTCTGATAAAAAAATGTTCATGAGAGTGTTAATATTTATAACTCCACTTTTGAACTTGTCCTGGCCATTGATAGCTCTGAAAAATAAGAAGTTAAAATGTATTGCTAAAAGTGAAGGAGCAGATAGGAAATGTATTGAGAAAAAAGAAAGTTTTTAAGAATTTAATTTGAAACGATCACATATAGAATTGTTTGTGGAAATATATATATTATTGAATGTGCCTGGCTTCAAAGAGGTTTAAAAATAGATTTTTGTGTGAAAATTTTAGCACTGTATTGTAGAAAATCAAACTACAGCAGGGATATAAGGGCTTATCAATTGAAATCCCTGTGTAATAAACATATAGTCCTGCAATGTTAACAGTAGGGGCCGGGGGCCAGCGGGATGAGCTCCAGTACATCACCCTTTGACAGATATCGTTGATCTAAGCGATCCATTCGCAATATCCTTTTGCACAGTTGTGGAACCTGGTAAACCTGCATTGAAGCGGATTGTCCGTCATTTTGGCAAGTCGGTTCTTCAAGACGATGGGACGCTGGATAGAGCCAAGCTCGGATCCATCATATTTGCTGATTCTGAGAAACGGAAGATACTGAACCGCTGCACCCATCCCTACATACAACGGACGATGCTCTGGGAAGTCCTGACAAGCTTTCTCTCTGGTAAGTTGGTGGAATTTGGAAAGTAATCCTCCAAACTTTATATCAAGTTGCACAGAGTGAAAGAAGAGACATACCGGTAAATAAAACTTGCTATGGTATCGGAGAAGACGTAAACGAAACTTGCCCAAAAAATGATCAAACTCTGAAGATGTATGAAGGCAGAAATAAATGTCAATATTTTTAGATTGGTGTTATGTAAAAGCAGTAAATCACATTTTTATTTTGTTTTTTTTGTAAAGAATGAAAGTATCGGTACATGTATTAGCAAACTCTAGGAACATTTCAGTTTTTTATATGATATAAAGGGCATGCTTCAAAACATAAGGCCTTGATGTTGAAGTTGAGATCAGGACCCTGTCTTATAAAGAGTTGCTATCGATCACTCTCCCATCGCTTATGTCTATACATGTAGCTATGATTGATATCAATCACAAATAAATTGTGAGTAATCACAACTGTTTATAAGACGGGGGCCCTGACAGCCTTTTATGAATATGTTCTTTGTGTTCATTCTGATCATGTAGGACACCATTATGTGATCTTGGATGTCCCTCTGCTCCTAGATGGAAGTGCTCTGAGAAGTTTCATCAAGTATGTGCTTGTGGTGTATTGGTAAGTACCGGTACAATGCTTTCATGTATAAGAGAAACCAGAAGTTAAGATGGAAAAGAGGGGCCGGCCCGGGGGGGGGGGGGGGGGGGGGGGGGGGGGGGGGGGCTTTTAGTTCAGTGAACATGTGAAATTCTTTTACAGCAAAGGGAAGACAAGCACATTTAAAACAAGTGATGCAAAGGGAAGCATTGTTATCTGTATAGTCCATTACAAATGAATTGAAATGCGAAGTGAATCATTAATTTGCTTTGCATCAAATTTTTTAATTGATTGTATACAGCGATGAAGCGACTCAGCTGGATCGTCTTATGGCTCGCAATGATCTAACCCAAGAGGGCGCCCTTCAAAGAATCAACTCGCAGGTTCCACTTGAGATCAAGAAGAAACAGGCCGACTTTGTGATCGATAACAACGGAAGCTTGACTGCCACAAAACAACAAGTACTAGAACTGTACGAGAGATTAGAGGGTTCATATGCACACTGGAAACTAAGGTCATTCCTGTTCGGGAGTTTAGTTCTTCTTGGGGGCGTTGCTTACCAGTTATATTCATTCCTATGAACTTTGGGGGTAAAAAGCATATTGAAATGGTGGTCCCTGTGTTAAAAGTCTATGGGAATGAGAAAAATCAGTGCCAATGGGTTAAGATTTAAAGATAAACTCCAGTACTGGTAAAAAAAATATAATTAATTCTCACAGAATCAAACGAAACTTACACTGAATGTTCAAGATTACAAATAAATGACATGTGCCAAACAATTTTGGAAGAAAATGTATACTGGCTGAGTAATGAGCATAGAAAGACAAGGAAATCAAGGTAGTACTAGCCCCGACACCATGTGTGTTGTCCCATATATAGCTTTCTATGTGAGTGCTTGTTACTTTACCAAGACTCGGTCAAATTTATTATGATTTTGATGACTCCAGAACCTTGCAGTGCACACCAATACTTACATGCTACATGATCAACTGTTTCTGATCCTTTCACACCTTTTCTTTCACAATGCAATCGCATTACCAGTACTAAAGTTTATCTTTAAAGATAAATGGGAATCTCTTTATGAAGGACACTGTTTGAACCAATATACAAATAATTCATGTATGCGAGTGCTTTATTGAATATGCACTGCACGCAGGTTAAGTCATAATGGGTAAATGAACGAGACTTGTCTAGATCGTTATCCGGTTTATAGCAGTGCATCATATCGTAAAGAACTCCATAGATATAAACTCATTATTTGCAGTTTGTTTGTTCCACATTAACATCAAAAAACAATTTTTTAATTCTTTTTCTTATACAAGTGTATAAGCGTAGATTACACCAAAAAAATTTAAAGATTTCAGATCAATGAACGGAAAATAGGTACTTTTCGAAATATATAGATATAGATATATCACAGGCAAGGTAAAACAATGTAAAATGTGGGAAGCCTAAATAAAAAGCATAGCTTGCATGTGAATAGGCTCCCGTTCTGAGTAACACAATATAGTAGTTCTAAATTTAAAAGGTATTATAGGAGGCGAAAACAAGTTTGTATATCTTGTAGAATGTGATTCAGATGTATGATTTAGGAAACGTCCTCAGAGAAAAATTGAATTAAGGATATGCAAATCAATATTTATATGGTGTTGTATGACCTTGAGTGGGATACAAGGGTATATCCAACGAGCTGATGAGAACATTTCACAAGTCAGCATGATGAGTGAAATGTTCTCAAAGCGAGAGCGATACACAGTTGTATCTCATGAAAGGAAACTAGGAAAGCCATTTAACTTTAGTATAATTACTAATTGTATGAAACCTATTACCTCAATACATCATTATGTTTTTGTAATTAAGTTTAATTAATTAATTTCAGGGATAAATTTTTGTTGGTGCTCACCTAAGCATTTTACAAGGGCTTCTCACATACATGCACATCCATTGTTTTGACCTTTTTGTATTAAAAGGGGGTGTTCACTGTTTTTACGCATTCACGTACCCCAAACCATGAGATGCCTCGACAAAACCATTTGGCCGTTTTTTGGTTGGTCCCTATTTTCATTTTCTTATATATTGCAAATACTTATTTATAATATATATCTCTTTGTATTGTTTTTATCGAAAATGGAAATGAAAATGGAAATGATAAAATGGATTGAAAATAATTCTGGGAATCATGCGCAAAGCGTTATGCTACTGGCACAAAAGTTTGTATGAACGATAATTTCGTACGAATCTCCGTTTTTCCATTGTCTTCCCGAATTTACATTGTCTGAAAATCGTTCGTACGGCGTTCATAGCAGTTCGTAATGGCATTTGTGACCGAGGCTTAAGACTGATTTTTCAGTATTTATAAAAGGTTTGTAAAAGAAATCATAAACTATTAATATTATATGCAATGCCATGTATCATCATTCAAGTAATAAAAAATAATTTATTTTTGATACCTGAAATAATGTCTTCTTGTCCAAATCAATGTGTTGGTACAGATATATGTATGTGTGTAAAAGGCAATATTAATGCTGCTCCTTCCTATAGCCCACCCCCCCCCCCCCTCTTTGTCTCTCTCTCTCATTGTCTGTCTATCTGTCTCTTCCTCTCTCTCACTTTATCTATCAGTCTCTCTCTGTTTCTCTCCAGTCATAACCATATGAATGATTGTATAAGATCGAGATAAAGCCATAAACAAGGTGTGGAAGAGAGTGATTAAACTTTATATAAAATGTGGAAATGTGTTATCCATCTCTTTCCCCCTCGCTCTCTCTCTCTCTCTCTTCTATTTTTACTCTCACTCCCAGCCTTCCCTCACTATATCCACTTTTCTTTCACCATCTGAGACTTCTGATTTGTTTTCACTTTCAATTAGGCATACCTTAACCATGTGCATAATTGTATAATAATTTGAGCCATGATTTAAAGTGAGTGTGGAAGAGTGATTTAAAGATACTATGTCCCAATAGTGTCCCTATATAAGACACTATTGAGTGAGTGACTGGCTTTTTTCCTTCTTTGGTAAAATACATAAAATGAGCTGTAAAGGGATCATGAGCATTTGTCTACATCAATAACCCACTTCTTGTAATGGCCAAAATTAAACTGATTGAATCTTTGCGCAGCATAAAACGTACAACCATGCGGTACAATGGTCTGAAAATCAAGACTATTACTTATTGGCTCTATAGCTCCCAAGTCGATTTGACAACTAACAGTCATTATTTTTTGGCCTGCAAATGGGACATACTACCTTTAACTTGATACTAAATGTGAGAATGTGCTGATGATTAATGGTTTGAATATAATCATGAAGCAAGCAGGAGAAAACGGCCTAGCACACAAAATACAATCTGATTTTTTCCTAGATATCGCAATTGCACGAGCTATAGAAATGTAAACAAAATATAAACTTCTTAATTGAAAGTCCTTTGAAATTGAAATCACAGACAAGCACATGACTGGTCAGCTGTAACTATGGTTCGGAGCCAAATTGGCTATTCCTTCCACAAGCTTGCATTGTAATCTAGCCAAATTTATGCATACCGGTATGTCTTTGTGACGAGTCTTGGAGAATTAATGTACCTCAAAAGTCAGAATTCAAATGGAAACATTAGTCGTTGCTACGTAGGACAAACATCATGGCTCGCCCTACCTAACAACATGTAATATATGCAATTTGCATTCTGACAAATGAGATAGTTATTTATAACATGTGAATGAAATATATTGTATTGAGGCACAAGTAAAAATTTGGTTACATTACGAAAATTTCCTGTTGCAAAAATGTACACATACCACACACTTTTTAATTTTTCAAGAATAGGAATGTTACTATAAAGGAAAATTTGCTCTAAACGACAAAATCAGATTCACATATAATGTTTTAATTGCACCTAAATTATATCCTTGCCCTTGCACAATATTACAACTTCATTGCACTTTGTTTCAATCGGAACAAGGACATCATTATATTATCACATATCAATAGAAATATGATGTACAGTATATTAAACTTTTAGGATACTTCTTTAAAGATGAAAACAAATGCATGAACAAAATTATATACAAATACATATTCATTAATGACCAAGTAATACGGTACCCCTTGATGACTAATACACATGTATGATGACTGCAGAATCATGCACTAATACAGTGTATGAAAAATCAAATATTTGAGTTGATATTTTAGGCTACAAATGGCTCTCCATAATCTTTAAGTCCAACTTAAGTTCAACTTAGGATCTTTGTGAAACACCCCCTGCACATGGAAAATGATATACCAGGGGGTAATTATACTTGTATACATTTTGGCCAAATAATCAGCATGATATACAGAGAGTTATGACAAAGAATATTCTAGGGAAAGCTTTGGTAATAGGGAGGACTCACAATTAACAGCCCCCCCCCCCCCCAACACCAGCTGTTTTTGTCCACTTTTTCTCATAATGTTGAGTGCAATCAACTAATCACTGGCGTTGTGGATTGTGGATTGTGAATCCACTGTATACCATAAACAAAGACGTAAAATATATAATAAATACATTACGGCTGCCGTGATCAAGTCTGCAAAATATTTCTCAGTGAATGCAATATATAGTTAAAAGCTAGTTTGAATCTAGTTAAGGCGCCACAAAACCAAGAAACAGTCGCCAGATATGACTTCTTTTAAATAAAAAAATCCGATCAACAGGTAAGTTCATAAAGAGATGAGAACTCCTATATTGAACTTGAGATCAGACAAACTCAGATCTACAAAACTCTGCCAAAATACCAGTTGGATTCCATATGGACCAATAAAATTAATCTGAATCTAGGTGCTTCCACAAGTTGGAATTACATGCAAGAAAACTATCTCAGGAAATGCCAACTAGAATTTGACCATCGTGACCAAATGCAGCTTTATTGAGCTCTAACTGGAAATCACACAATGCAACTATTTGGTAGTTTTGTGGTGCCTGGTCACATGTTCATAAATGTCTACAGCTGCCCATTTATACCAAACATGCTCGTACACATATAATGCATAGTACACTGTCTAATCGCAAATCACCTGACCTAGCAAATGGCTATTGTAAAGACATTCTAAAGTGTTAGACCAACCGTTGTAATGATGTATTTATACTGGTACCTGCTTCCTAGAATACAATGCCAAGAGCATTCTCATAGTCTTAGGTTACACTTCATGTGCACTCATCCATAAAAACATAAATATAACCATAACAAAATATGAATACAAAAATAGAAATATAACATTTTATTTTCATTGGAAAGACACAATTCATTATAATTTAAGGCACTTTGCATGTTTACAAGATGAATTTGAGCTTATACACAATGACGGCACACATAATAAAAAACCTTTATACTGATGCATGGATATAGAGTACCGGAGTGCTAACGTCATATTTGCTCGTCGTCCGGGTTACTGGTTCTAAACAACAGAGCCTGCACATGAGGTTCAGCGCCAAATCATTCAAGCGAGGGGGCTGGAGCAGGGCAAATTCAGTGTTTGGGGCTGGTGGGAGATATCACCACACCATTGCTTAGCACAAAACTGCTTGGAACCAGCAACCTTGTTATCATGACATTAGAACAATTGCCTAAAGCCCATAACACACCAAGAAACTTATGTGAATTGCAAAACTTTGGTATTCTGTCAGTTGTGATTTAATCGTATTGCATCATAAAACTTTCCGCGACTCTGAACCACCTTCGAAAATTTGTGAACATTTCATCCTCTGGAAAGTTTGTGATGAAGAGGCACTAAGTTTTGCTACTTGCAACTGTTCCAAGGATAGAAGTCGTGCTTGAATACCAGGGGGGTGTTTCACAAAGATCTTAAGTTGAACTTATCTCTAAGTTGGACTTAACAATTATGGAAAGCCGTTAGCATCTTCGAAAATAGTATGTAAAAGTCATTTTAAAAGGCATATAATGTTGATTCTATCATTCTATTTTCTATTTTCATGGCAGATTTCATGTTCTTGATGTGGAATTCATGAAAAGTCTGCAATACTTGAATTTTGGTTTGGAATATATTGTATTCTAAGGCTACAAATGGCTCTTCATAATTTGTAAGTCCAACTTAGAGTTAAGTTCGACTAAGAATCTTTGTGAAACACCCCAGGCTTTATTAGACATGACCGTTCTTCAAACACGGCGTGAACTTTTCCATGTGGACCAAATGTCCTCTTATCTTGTACGAATACACCATGTAGCAACACGCGCCGATTATGATGAACACGACGGATGTGATAACCAGGTAGCCGAACGTCTCTGGACACGGAAGGACTATGACCAGGACAAAGTGGATCATGTCGAACGAGCACTCTAGCGCCCTCTGGACCCCATTGAAGACGCCCCGCTCCGTCTCCACCACGTTCTCCTGAACCAGCTGGGTCACGACAAGGTCGTATGCCCACAATCCTAGACTCGGCAAATGAAAAGACATTTAAGACATTTAAAGGCATCGTTTCCAGTTTTACAAATCTGATATGTATGGCTCTATGTGTAATCAGTGTCTGTGATATGGTATAATATTGAAGCCCTACCTATCTTTGAGTGACCGGTTTTACCATTCTCATTTCTACCAATAAACTGTAGTGTTATAAAAAATGTTGTGAAACTTTTTTTGAAATTTCGATTTTCAATCATGAATATTAATATTGATACAAGTCATGGGATTCCTGACTGACCTAAAGGTTTATAATTATGAGTGCAGCATGAACAAAAATCCAGGATTTTGTTTAGAATTTGAGGCAAAGATACCCAATCCCTTTAAAGGTAAGATGAAGGTTGATTCTATTCACTCATATGTAGGGATAGTGATTTTTCATTTGAAAAAAAGACCTTTTCTGTTTCAGAAAATCTAGTATTCCATTTCAAGCTGAAAAAACAGAATTTTGTCTTGCTGTAGATTTTGTACACATGAAAAAACAATTTCTGTTTACATGAGATTGACATACAAGAAATTAACCTGTAGGATACAAATGATTTTATAAAGGTTCTAAAAAAATAGGACACATGTAAAACAAAATGTTCATTGCAATATTCAAATTATGAAATGTAAATGTAAGTTGCAAAGAAAATATCTTTTGTAGCTTTAGTCCCATTTTTGTTGCTATTTTAGAATTATTTTAAGAACTAACCTATCCTTGATAACACGATCCCTGTGAAGAGTACAGCAGCGGACACGAGAGACGTCTGTTGTTGATCAGTGCCTGTGTATTTACACTGCACCCTGGACAGGTCTGGGGCTTGAGTTGTACCTGTACCGACAGTAGGTGGCGCCATGACCCCCACATGAGGGGTCGTCAAAGTGAGAGGTGGAGAACTGCTCTGACTCGCGTCTGCAAGCATAATGTACAATATTTGTCTACCAATAAGGTTTCAAGGGTTGCTGATTTCTTATAATTATCATTTATATGTCCTGGGGGGTGTTTCAATAAGGATGAGATCGACTTTAAGTTTGACTTAACTATGGCAGACTATTCATGCCACTGGTTGCTCTCGCTATTGGTCTCTCAATTGTGATCTTTCGATAATATTTTTTCCTTCAATTAAAATGTAAATTCTGTAGATTTGTGACCACGATTTATACGTTCCTTGAGAAACCAATGCTATAGGAGGGGTTAGAGGAACTAGTGGCATGAATGGCCTGCCATAGTTGAGTCCAACTTAAAGTCGATCTTAGTCTTTGTGAAACACCCCCCTGTAGCGTCTATTTTTGTACCTGCAGGATCTTTTCTGTGGTTTTATCTTGCTGTATCAAACAAGATAATCAATTCAGATTAATAATAGTCCCGCACTTTGTCGCAGTGAATATCTTGTGTTAGATTCCAGTTTTTGGAAGTCTATTGAGTATTTCCTTCTCAACCATGTAGTTGTACGTTTTATTGCGTTTGCGATTGCAACCGTGATTCACATACAGTACATGATTTCAACTTGCCAATTGTGCCATCCCTGTAATCTTAAAGCCCCACTGCACTACTTAAAGCTACTTGCGCCCTCTATACAGCCAACAATGCCTACGCCGTACATGTTGATCCCCATGATGCCCCTTTTTCTTATGTTAATTGAGAGCTGATTTGATGAGATAACCACCTGCCAGTGACCTTGCAGGGAGGTCTAATCCCTCCTGGCCAAACTAGTACAGACGGGCTTTAAATGAACGGACTTCCTAGGGACACGCAGGGACCATGTATGTATACATAGCACTGTGAAGGAAATATTGGTCCAAATGGTGGACAGTTCACATACGGTAGAAATCTCCAGTTACCAATTGTGCTGTTCCTTTCGTTCAAATGAACAAACTTCTTGGGGACTCGCAATGACTATACATGTATACGTACATGTAGTACTGAGGAGGAAATCTCAAGGATAGTTCACATACAGTACATGATTTCCACTTACCAACGGTGCTGTTCCCATAATCATAGATGAAAGGAGATCCAGGGGCCCACAGTGATCCTACACACAGCATCAGGAAGGCTATCTCAATCCCAAGGGAGTAGAGTCCAGATCTCACTAGACCGATTCTTCTTCTCATGACTGGGTAAAGCATTGTTCCGAAGATACCTTTTCAATGATATGGTGCAGGCAAAGAAGAATAATAATGAAAGATTTTAAAAAGAAAGAGAAGAGGAGGAGGAGGACAAGAAAAAGAGGACAAAGAAGAAAAAGAAAAGAAGGAAGAGAAGAACAAGAATCAGATAAAGCTTGAAGGCCATTGAAATCAAAATTTTATTAATCATTTGACTATTCAAATCAGTGATCATTAAAATTTTAGATGTGTGAATGTTTATATTCTGTAGCCTTCCTGCATCTAATGTATGTTAATTATGCATTCAATATATTTGTTTGATTTTGTACATTATCTGTATAAATTATATATTCACTTGAAATAGTGTATCAAACCATATAATGTTCATGAAAATGTATGATGAAAAAAAAGAAAAAAGATGCAGAAACCAATAAATCAATTCATATCAATGCTATTGCGAATTCTTCCCAAATCGGATTATAGTCAGATCGTATACTGTGCGGTGTCCTTTGGCAAGATATTAATCTACATTTGCCACTCTCCACCCAGGTGAAGTAAATGGGAGGGAAAGAATTCCTTGAATGCTGTAGCGCCTTATCATGGCGGCTCAGTTACAGTCAGGGTAATGATATGATACTTTATATTAAGCGCAGTAGAGTATATTCAAATATTGTAGCTGCACTATAAGAATTGACGTATTATTATTAATAAAGTTAGCTTTACCTGTAATGGATCCAAGCGCCTGTAGGATTCCCATGGCATACTCTGGCATACCTTGTGAGTAGCCATAGCCCAGAGTGATGGAATCAAAGCCCAGGACAGTCATGTAGAGGAAAGCCATACCTAGACCGGCCCAACACTCCACGTAGGATTTGTACACCTTCCAACCGTCGAACATATCCTACGATATAGAGAAATGAAAGTCGGTTTAGAAGTAATAGTGATCGATATTAATGGTGAACATTTGTAATGTGCAATGTCTGTCAAAATTGACACTCCTACAAGCTTACATATTTCTATTTGAGGTCAGGCTTCAAGGAAGGACATAGTTTAGAGGGCATCCCACAGAGTGGTTTGTTAGGACCACACATATTTTACACATGGAAGTCAGAGACATTGCTAGAGGAGGAGGGGGGGGGGGTTGACAGCTAACTTGTCAGCAAATTGGCCGACACCCTCCTTATCAAAATGGTCTGGGAAAAGCTCTGGTTGAAGGTACGCATTGGCAGTTTTAAGCTTGCCATTGCCCTTTTCAGAGAGAATTTGACCTTTGCTACCACCAAGGTGATAAACCTATTTAAAGTGGGCATGGTTGAAAGCTTCACTGTCTCACCTTAAGTTTTGCAGTCACTCTACCGCAGCAGCCTCCATCCTTCTTTGTTGCCATGGTTACTGGAGTAGATGGTGCAGGGGCCAATGATGCTGGAGTGACTGGTATCTCTGTAAACTCTCTCTCCCCATCCTCCTCCTTGGCCGGGGTGGTTGGCTGAGATGCTGATGCCGATACGGAAGCTGATACTGGTGATGCTGGATAGGCTGCCGGTACCTTGGTTAATTCCTTCTCCCTATCGTTCGATTCTTGGGTATCGCTTTGAGCTTCGATGGCTGGTTCGCCCAATTCAGAGTATTGACCTGTGACCTCTTGCTCAGGAAGAGCTTCATCTATGATTTAATAAGAAGCATAACCAGCAGGTGTTAGCCAAGAGTTAAATTGGGTATGTGATGTGAGGGTTAAAAAGGACATCCAGAAATGATTATTCTATAGGTAGTATATCAAAGCCCCATTGCTACTTGCACCCTCTATATAGCAAACAATGCCTAAGCGGTGACTGTTGGTCCCCCATGGTCCCCTTTTTCTTATGTTAATTGAGAGCTGATTTGATGAGATAACCACCTGCCAGTGACCATGCAGGGAGGTCTAATCCCTCCTGGCCAAACTAGTGCAGATAGGCTTTAAACTAAACTATCACGATGGTTTTCCCTCAGCATATCAATGTTGCATGTTTTGTATTATTGCTTACTAAGTGTGACAACTAAACCAAATTTCAAGGATTTCTAATAATTATTAGAACTCACATTCTATGCAAACTTAGTCCGCATATCATATCTGTAAGTTCATAAAAACTAGTCATATGTAATAAAATACAGGAGGCACAATGGCTCAGTGGTACAGCAGTGGTCTCATAACTGGAAGGTCCCTGGTTCAAAACCAAGTTAAATGCCCTAGTGCCCCTTGGTCAGGCATAGCTCCTTACACATTCCTGTGGAGAGGACTTAAAGCCGTCAGTCCCCTGTTTGCTCAACTTTTAAAGCATAGACATGCTTTCTTCACAGTCAACTAAAACAAACCAAACAACCAAACCAAACCAAACCAAAATCTGAAAATTCTGAAGAACAACTTTTGAAAGCCTACATGTTCTACAAAACATTTAAAGAGAAGGTCGAGTTCTGGGAAGAGGTGAAAAATAATTTGTGAGCGTTATCATTCTTATAATGCAAGTGTGGAAGAACATCAGATAAAAAATGTTCCCTGAAAAGCATGACTCTTCAAATGCCTTAATATTCTAAATATGGCATGTAACAGCATAAAAATCGGGACAGATTTTTATGTCACATATACATCTTTCTGTGTACAGTGCTTGTAACTTTACCAAGACTGGGCCAAATTTCTTATCATTTTGATGATTCCAGAACCTTGTAGTACACACCAATACTTATATGCTAGATGATCAACCTTTTCTGAACGATTCTAGACAGTTTCTTTCACAATGCAATTGCATGACCAGAACTCAACTTCATCTTTAAATACATAAAACTTTTACCTGTGCATCCTACGCCTCCTTTGAAAGCCAACTCAGGTACATTCCTGTACACCCTCGAAAGATTCCAGTACTCAATCACCATGGAACCGGCATTCCAGGATGCAACAAAGATACCCCCAATCAGCATAGATGCGGTCATGATGGCACCGACGGCGATGGGAGCAAGGATGTTACTGACGAGGTCTATACGCCTCATGTTTGCATTCATAACTAAAAATGAAAAACGACATAAATATTCAGGCTGTGTACAAAAATCCTATGCGTACCCTATTCACTTTTCTGAGTACCTCTGTTCAATCTCTACTTAGAAATGTGAGGCAATCGGCTGCGTTCACAACAATGTCATATCAGTCACAAAATTCAGCATCAAATATCATATTCATATGACCATCCTAAACCAAAATCAGATATAAATTATATTTCTTTGAAGTTTTACATCAAATATTATAGTACTTTCTATCAAAATCTGGTCGTAAAATGTGTCTTGACCTTATACCCCCCCCCCCCATGCTATACATGTAGGTGGCAATTTCTCTAAAGAATTGAGGTGTTAAACATTGTAATTGGATTACAGTACATTTTTTCCCCCAGAAACAGAAGCAGTTACCTCTACTGTGAACTTTACTCCAACTAACAATATTTCATGCCCCATTTATCAACGAACAACACGTACCAAGAATAGACTTCATTTATCAAACTTTATTTATGACAACTGGGGGGTGTTTCACAAAGACTAAGATCGACTTTAAGTTGGACTTAATTATGGAAGGCTGTTCATGCCATCGTTTGCTCTCACAATTGGTCTCTCAATTATGATCTTTAGATAATATTTTTTCCTTCAATAATGAATTATCGAAAAAATGTAAATTCTGTAGAGTTGTGACCATGATTTGTACATCCCTTGAGAGACCAATGCCAGTACATTGTGAGAGCAAACAGTGGCATGAACGGCCTGCCATAGTTGAGCCCAACTTAAAGTCGATCTTAATCTTTGTGAAATGCCCCCCAGGAGTAGTAAACTCACTAGCAAGGACATCCTTGTCCCCACCAGCCACGACGACCACCCAATCCTTCTGGATACAGATCATCTCGGCAAGGCTAGCCAGTGATGCCAAGGTACCGAGTATGATGATGATCAGCTGACAGATGATGTAGAGGCCACCATTCCAGATCTGCAGAATGTCCGTCTTAAGGATGAGGACTGTACACAGGAGGCAAGCATTGATCAGGACACTGCTGTTTTGGATGATCAGGGAAGTTCGGGCAGCTGGGAGAAATAAGAATGATAATTGTTCAAAGTTACATACCGTAATTAACGGTGTACATGTATAAACCGCCCTCGTGTAATAACCGCATGCCTCTTTTTCGCCCTAAAAAAAATTATAAAAAAATTTAAAAAAACCACGAGGCCTTTCATTTAAATGTGAGGTGCAGCTGAATGTGTAAGATCATTAATGTAAATTAAAACACAGTAGAGGTCCTAGGATAGAACCTTGTGGTACGCCGAGTAATAGAAGAAAAATTGGAGGAATTATTATTGTAAACTACATATTGAGAAAGATTTCTTTCAAACCAAGATGACAGACAAATTTGAGTGTTGTTCTAGTTTCAGAGTGGCGAGTCAACACACCGATTACTGAGCTGGGAGACATTGCCAGGCATAGCGCCAGGTGGAGGGGCATAAATCGAAACGTGTATAAGACGCACCCCCGACTTTGAATTTTTTTCGGCGGCAAAAAAGTGTGGTTAATACACCGTTAATTACGGTATCTGAAAGATTCTAGGACAGGTGGAAGATGAAGAGACCAGCATTGTTTCATATTTCATGTAGCACCCTGAAAATCAGACTATTACTTTAGTGATTGCAATCACTTAAGTCGATTTGACAACTAATGGTCGTTATTTTCACACTTAAAGCCATTTCAGACCCTTTCGTTTTGAGGGAAGTTCTAAATTAGTATTGTCTTTCAAATGCTTTAACATTTATTTTTTTGGCCTTCAAATGGGACATAGTACCTTTAAGATGCATGACATTTTATGAGAAAAATGTTATAACAAATATATAGAGAGATTTGTGCTTCCAATTTGAAGAAAAAAAAGTGCTCAAGAATCCAGCACTGGCAAAATTGCCTTCCTGAGTGAGTGAAAAAAGGTAACATCTAACCTCTTAATCTGGGCGTCTTATCAACCCATCTTCCAATGGCCGCACCAAAGATGAGAGAAGAAGCGGAAACACAGAGTCCATAGATGGCCGTCAAACGGAGAGATTGTTCCTGGATCTCGACTAGGTAAAGGGCTACAGTGAAGCTCCACATACGATCACCCTACAATGGCAGAAGAAAAAAGAAGGAAAGAATGGAATAACTTTCATAAATAAGCTATGATTAATTAATGTATGGATTATATTTAGGATTGAAAGAAAATCCTAATCGCTGTGCCGAAGTGACAAGATTTTATGTTAAGATGGGTCTACATTTTCTTAGAGGGTGGCAAAGTAGGTGAGATGCTGCTCTCACAGTTATAAGGCACAAGCTCCAGCACTACCGAATGGACTACATATAGAATAAAATAAAATCTGGATGCATGTTGAACTTTCCTTTTCTTTCCCACCCCTATCTTTCTTTAAATACTCTAACTTGTATCAATCATTCAGCACCCTCTAGTACCTGGAAGAAGATAGAGAACTTAGACCCCGTTCTCACTCACTTCGTTGGAGCGCTCTAACTAAGACCTGTTCCTCAGGAGCGGTTCTTAGGTGAGTGAGAACGGTCAAAGTGGTCCAGGAAGTGGACTTCTGGACCGCTCCAGAAGACCACCTTCCGAGGTGGTCTTGAGGAGCGGGTCTTATTAAGAGCGGTTTGGAGCGCTCTAACGTGCAATGTGAACGGAAGCGTACTTTGAACAGAAGTGAGCTAGTGACCTTCGGTGCGAAACATGTAGTACGGTACATACGGTTTGTATTCCGCGCGCGAAAAAATTGACCTGCTGACCTGAGCTGCCATAGCAACAAGACCACTTTGACTCGTGGAGCGGTTTGAGCCATAAAAATCTGCTCGGAGTGTGAACGCTCGCAAACCGTTCCTCAAGACCCGTTCCTCTGGAGCGGTCTAACTAAGACCACTTTCAAAGTGAGTGAGAATGGGGTCTTAGTCATCATAACCATTGGGACTCTCCTTCCTGTACAATGAAACAGATACAATGTACAAGCAGGTATACTCCTCCTCAACAATGTATTCTGATTCCGTATCATTCTAATAGCAGGGACCATATCGCCTAGAAAAAAGTTGTCAAGTCCAACACAATGCTAGAATACTAAAAGCACAACTGCACTGAAGTTGGCTGAGAATTCATATTTAATATAAAGTTACCGGTAAATGCATGTCAAATTGTCAACTAGAATTTTCACAACTTGAAGAAGAAAAAAAATTCTTCAAACCTTTTCATTTTTTGGGGTAAGAATTAAATTTATTTGTTTACCATTTAATTACCTTCGTTTTACCTTTATCTACCGGTATTTAGAGTGAAATAAGTTGAGTTCTTAACCTTGTCTTCATATTTGATTCGACTATTTCTATTTTTATGTTTTGTTATCTTTTGTTACTTGATTTTGTTTTGTGATATAATTTGTATATTTTTTATTCAGTCACAGACTTTTTGAAAATCAACCATTAAGGCTCAGAGAGTGACCGTGCTTAAATAAAATAAATGAAAAATATTATAAGTGACATTTGAAGACGATATTTTGAAAGTAGGATAAAAGTAGCAAATCCGAAACATGGCGAGCAAAACAATTTGCATGTGAGTCAGTGGTCCCTTTAAAGGGCATGTTCCCTGTATTCCAGAGGGCGTTCAAAATACGTACCCGCTGGCGGACAGTTCTTACGCAGATGGCATGTTCCGAATGCCCACACAATGCCGATTATCGCATACATGTGCCAAAGTAATACCAATCGCAGTTCGGCTCTAAGATTCGGCTGCTGTTTCTGCCCACTTTTGTGACGTCACGATCGGCAGCTTTGATTGACAGTTGTATGCAAATTAGAAGTCGATCTGTGGAACCTTTTGTACATCGAATTTCATGTTTTTCCTTCTTTCTTGTGATTGAGATAATAGAATGCAAAATGATATTCTACTTCACATGTTATGAAATCCGATCAAGAACACAAATAAATAGGAAAAAAACGAAAGGCATGGAGAGTTGTCCACAAATGATGTCATCAAATTGAATACCGCCCTCTAGTGACTAGTCATTTTAAAAAGGTTTAACTTCCTTATTTCTTGCCCGATTTTGTTCAATATTTCACTGATTTTATTCAAATATCTTAAACTCTACAATAAAAGTAACTTAGTATGAAGGTTTTGGTTCCCTTTAAAGGCCCACTGCACTACTGGTAGCTACACTGTACTTGCACCCTCTATATAACAATGCCTAATCGGTGACCATTGGTCCCCCCATGATCCTCTTTTTGTTATGTTAACTGAGAGCTGAGTTGAAGAGATAACCACCTGTCCAGTGACCTTGTAGAGCGGTTTAATCCCTCCTGTAAACTACGGCTGATAAGCTTTAATCAAGAACATCATATCTAGATTAGGTGTATATTTGGTATCTTTTTCCTGTATTTTTTTCCAGCATTACATAATTACAGACATAGACAAACACACAAACAAACACACGCACACACACACAAATAGTACACACAAGAGCAACCATACTCACCACCATTGTTATTATGTTCAAAATTGGACAATCCCTATGAACAAGTGAGTGGAAAAATATATTTCCCGGTATTTCCCGGTAAAAAGTGGTAAATACCTGTAAATACCGCTTATTTCCCGGCATCCGGGAAATAAGCCTCCGAAGCGGGAAATATGCCAACCCTGCATGAATTATGGCTTGTCTTACCTAATAACACGTAACGTATGCAATTTGCATTCTGACTATTGAAATACAATTAGTTGTAACAGGTGAATGAAATAATTTTTAACGAGGCACTTAGCAAAGATTTGTGCATTAAATTTGATTAAATTACAAAAAATGGCCTATCGTCTGATCGCTTACCCATGCAGATAAGAATTGACTGATATAAAGCATCACAGCATTGCTCATTATCCATTGGTAGAATGCTGCATAAGTCCATCGTGAGGATCCTTGAAGGCAAAAAACACAAGTAGATAAGAGTAGAACGTCAAGGTGAAACAAAATGTTGGCCATAGTCTTTAATCTGATACTTCACTTATCCTATAAAGAAATGAAGTTACTGTGTCGTGAGATAATGCGGTATAAATAGTGACTGGAAAATGGCAACCATTTAAAAAAGTTTTTTAAATTTATTTTACAAAGGGTCTAGATTGACATTTTTCAAGTCAGTATGCATGGGCCCACGTTAAAATGTATTCAGTTGTACAGGTATATATCTATTTTTTTTTTTTTATATATTTTTTTTTTTTTTTTTTTTTTTGGGGGGGGGGGGGGGGGGGTACCAGAAATTGAAATTGGAGGCCCATTTGAAACTGGCCCCTGTTAATATATCAAGCCCTAGAAAAATATTGACTGATTTGTATGTATCTCCAATATGCCCTAGAAGAGAAACCATGTGATGTAAACCACCCCCCCCCCCCCCCCTCTCCCTCCTCCCCATCAAAGAAAGAAGGAAAAAAAAAATACCAGTACAGGTTTATATATTAGCAATGAGCTAACAATTTATCCAAAGAATACCCTACAGATGACAGCATTTGGCAATGAGTAGCAATCACATGCAGGACTACAGGTGTACATTTGTAAAAGCATTGACTAGACCTTTCCGTAGAATATTTCAACAACAAAAAAGTTACAATTCCTACGTAAGTTATTTTTACAGCCTCCACCCCTGTCCCTCTCTATCAACGAACTCACTTGTTTGAGTAGCCAAGTCACCATTGTCTCCACCTCCTCCGCCAGGGTCTCCTCCCCCATCTCCTTGCCCTACGTCTCCCGTTGCATCTGGGTTTGTTCCTTCCTGTGTAACGTTAATATTAAGATTGAGGTCCAGCCCGGGCTGTAGATCATGCTGTTCTGCTGCTGTTGAAGGGTCTTCCTCTCCAAGGGTTTCCTGGAGGACAGCTGGTGGGGATGTAGGAGGTTCTAGAGTAGTGTCTCTCAGCCCTTGCTCATCAGCATCATCATCAGTGAATCTTGCGTAGCCCTTGCCTGTCATGTCTGTGTTGGGCCTCTTGGCTGTGGTGGCAGTGGTGTTGGATTCCCGAGGCTGAGGATTATCCAACGACTACTTGAACATCAGGTTGGATATCATTTCATCTCGAAATCACCTGTATTGAAAAATACAAGAGAAAACAATTCATTTTATGTATTTTGTTTGAATATGTTTGTTGTCTCTGACAGGACTTTTAATGTCTATGGTTTTCTTCGGCAGAGAAAACATGTCTCAGGAGAGCTGGAAAGGTGTCAACTCATTTTTTGGCTCATTTGTGTCTAATTTTAAGCGATAAATCTGAATTTCTTTTTAAGGATCACATATTCCCTTGAATATAAATAGTGAAACAGTTGCCAAATGATCAACGAGCAGGTCCAGTCCTAATAAAAGGCAATTAACAGAGTTTAGTAAAAGTGAATTGACTATCTTCAATGATAATACTGTAATAAAGATGATGATGACGATGATGAAGATGATGATAATCAGATGATGATAATGAAAATGATAATGATAATGATGGTGATGGTGACGATGGTGGTGGTGGTGGTGGTGGTGGTGGTGGTGGTGGTGGTGGTGATAATGATGGTGATGGTGACGATGGTGGTGGTGGTGGTTGTGGTGGTGGTGGTGGTGGTGGTGATGGTGATGATGATGATGATGATGATGGTGATGGTGGTAGTGATGATGATGATGGTGGTGGTGGCATGGTGGTGGTGGTGGTGGTGGTGGTGATGGTGGTGGTGGTGGTGATGGTGATGGTGATGGTGGTGGTGGTGGTGGTGATGGTAATGGTGATGGTGGTGGTGGTGGTGGTGGTGATGATGATCATGATAATGCATGATGATGATGTTGTTGATGATGATGATGATGATGATGATGATGATGATGATGATGATGATGATGATCACGATGATGATGATGATCACGATGATGATCATAAAAATAATAACAGTAGGAACACCAACAACAATAATAATAATAAAAATAAAAATATAATAACAATAATGATCAATGAACAAATTTAGTCTAATAAGCAATAGTGTATCCTAAATTATGAAATTAATGATATAAAGAAAAAATATTAAAGAGGAAGAATTTCAGTGCAGTTTACTGTATGTAGATCTAGATAGGGTCTAGACCTCTAGGCCTACTCTAGACCGAATTTTCCGTCTCTTTCGTTCGTTAGCCTCTTATTGGGGTAGGGTCGGCTCAAGAGGCTAACAAACGAAAGAGACAGAAAATTCGGCCTAGAGTCTAGGCCTAGACCTACTCTAGATTTTTTAAGTTTAAAGTTAGATCACAATCGTAAAGTCAGATAAAGGAAATCTCAATGTATCTAACGTTAGATTTATAGACATTGCGATCAAACCTCAAGGGTTTACAGAAAGAATTCAAAATATATATAGAGACCCAATATAAATATTATGCAATAGCCTACCCATGAATGAAGTCCACTAACACTTTGAAGTGGTGAATCTGCTGCATGCATTTATTTTAGCGAGGCCGTCATGGTCGTGGATTCATCAAAACAATGAAACTAAACTTAGTGAAACCATTCAAATTTTGTATATTAATATTATTATTAAGCTACGAAACGTGTAGCTCCCAAGTAATAATATTGCAGTTCCACATGGGTGACAAGCTCATAATAACAAATTGCTTTACTGACCATCTCTTGCACCGTATAGCCGCAGCTCAGCTAGATTATGAAAGATACGCTATTACGTAAGTCTCCCACGGGCACCGCTCCGGTACCAGGCTGGCCGCGCTCCGGGCTTCGCTGGCCGTGCTGCTAGAGAAGATTTTCATTCATCACGGGTGCTATGTGATCATAAAGCTGCCTTGTTGATCTAGTCTTATTACAAGAATAAAGATTTCCTGATTATCGGGGGGGGGGGTATGCTTTTTGTATCACCTTCTGACTAAAACTGTGTTTTTCATTATGCCATAGATAGGTAGAATCATAGACGTCTATGGTAGAATGCATATAAAAAATTAGTAATTAGAGATTTGAAAAGCCAAATTACATTGTATATACCTAGACTAGAGTGACTATTATCTATATTGTGATGATGTATATATCGCCTTTATTCGGAATGTTCATTTAATATTCATGTAATAAATTTTTCATACCGAAGGGTCATACTAATTTTGAAGGCTCCTGATTCTGAAAATGAAATCAAATATAATCCTATATCTTTTGGAGGAATTATGAACTGTTGGATGTGCACCCCTCCCCCCCCCCCCCAGTTTTAATTTATTTTTAACGGATCAATTTCACTCCCTCACGCCCGCATTGGCCCGAATTCACAAAGCAAGGTTTGAGCTCAAACCTCCTTTTGTTTCGCCAAACCTCCTTTTGTTCTTTACAAACCAGGTTTGTAAAAAAACGCGTAAATTAAGCGCGTCATATGACGTACGAAAACCAAGGTTTGTCGACAAACCTCCTTTGTGAATTCGGGCCTATATTATGTCTGTAAAAGACAACAAAAACCTAAGCGTCATCATTGTTATATACGAGCTACAATGGAAAAACCTAATAAGAGGCGTATGAACCAGGGGCCCGCCAGCATCCCTGATGATAATCGAACAAACTGATATCCGGCAGCGATAGTTTCTTTGATAGTTGAAACCTTACGTATTATTTATTTAGACTATTTTGGTAGATATATTACATTTTCAGTGAAATTAAGTGTAAACGTTTGTGTCACTCCCATGTTACTCACTTCACTTTTTAATTGCTGAAATCGAGATACTGCAATTCTGCAAAGATGATGATATGGACAGCAACCCCGGTAAAATTATGTCCCTAAGACTCCAAGAGTCGTCTCATCACTTTAATAAGGGCGGGGTGGCATTTTTAGTGCCGCTTGCAATGCACCATCAAAGACCGTCAACACTACTGGGCCAGAAGGGATTAGACCACACAGCGAGGTCACTGACAGGTGGCTATCTCATTAACTCAGCTCTCAATTAACATAAGAAAAAGAGGATCATGGGGACCAACAGGCACGGATTGGGGAAGTTTTCTATATAAAGGGAGCAAGTAGCTACACGTAGGACAGTGGGGCTTTAAATGACATGGTATGTCACTGCCAGGGGCGTCGCTAGACCTTTTTCAATGGGGGTGGGGGTGTAGCGGCCAACGATTACTGACACAACTAGCCACCAATTACCGACAAAAATAAATGTCCCAATATCTACAAATTCAACCCTATAAACCCGGGGCCGAAGGCTAAATTGTTTTTCCAATGGACTATCTATAATACTTGCGTACGTACACTCTTATTTCCACAGCGTCAAATTTCACTCCAAATGGCGTCAGCTGGGAGTCAACTCTATTCCTAGTTAAAGTGACACGGAAAAGGAGTCAACTTGACTCTGAATTGAGTCAATTCTCAGCTGATGCCACACAATCCGAGTCAAATTGATTCGGAATCCGTGTCACTTTAACTAGGAATATAGTTGACTCCCAGCTGACGCCATTTAGAGTGATATTTGACGCCGTGGAAATAAGAGTGTATGCGTAAATAGTCATTTTCCTCGACGACATAAATATACGATTCATTTCGTCCATTTAGTCAGTATCATAGCTATATATTTTAATGCAGGCGCGGAGCTAGGATCTTATTTTAGGGAGGGGCGGTAGTGAGCAAGTGAATCACCTAAAGATCGCGTTCATTAGGGGGTGTGGGTGAAAGGCCTCCCGCGTGAAGCGCGGAAGTTTAGACATAACCTTAAATTATTAGGACAAGAAGACGATTTATTGTACCGTTCTAGACTGTTAATTCTTGTCTGAATGAATTCCCCCCCACCCTCCCGCGCGAAGCCTGAAAGCTTTGACGTTTTATTAAATTATTATAAAAAGAAGACGATTTGCTGTACCGTTCTCGACTCTTAATCCTCATCTGAATTCAGTTCCGGCCCCTCCCTGTACCGTTCTCGACTGTTAATCCCTGTCTGAATTCAGTATTCCCTCCCCCCCCCCCCCTCTCGCGCAAAGCGCGGAAGCTTTAGCGTTTTATTAAATTATTAGAGAAAGTAGACGATTCGTTGAACCGTGCTCGACTCTTAATCCTTGTCTGAATGAAGCTTCCCCGTACCGCGCGAAGCGCGGAAGCTTTGAAGTTTTCTTAAATTATTCCAGAAAGAAGACGATTCGTTGTATATACCGTTCTCGTCTCGTCTAAATGAAGTTTTCCCCTTCCGCGCGAAGCGCGGAATTTTTGGCGTTTCATCACAATATAGGGAAATGATGACGATTCGTCGTACTGTTTTCGACTCTTAATAAGCCCTATTCATCTGAATTCAGTTTCCCCCTTCCGCGCGAAGCGCGGAAGCTTTGACGTTTCCTTAAATTATTAGGGAAAGAAGACGATTTGTTGTTCCGTTCTCGACTCGTCTAAATGAAGTTTTCCCCTTCGGAATTTTTGGCGTTTCATCACAATATAGAGAAAGAAAGACGATTCGTCATACCGTTGTTGACTCTTATAAACCTTGTTTGAATTTAGTTTCCCCTAAAATTTTAAACCTCTGATTTCTTTAGCTGATATTATAGGAAAGTGAAACTTCGAGAAAATACAAGTAGTGTAGTTGTAGTCACTCTCGAAGTGATCACAGCGGATAAAAAGTCACAGTTCGTAGGGAAAAAAACTTGTAGTACACGAGGATCGAGCAAGAATACCGACACATGCAGCTGACCCGACACTGACACAGCAACATAATTTACCCGTGTCTTTCTTGCTCCCTCGACGAGACGACTCTGCACCCAACAACACCCCTCTCTCTTTTACTCCCACTCCTCCTCTCTCAGGCTCTTATACCTCCTCTCTCTCTCTCTCCTCTCTTTCATCCCCCGTTTCTTTTGTTTCCCTTTTACTCTCTTTTTTTCTTCTTTTTTTCCTTTTCTTTCTTTTCTTTCTTTTCTTTTTTTTCCTTTCTTTCCTCTCCTCCCTCTTTTTCTTTTTTCTCTTTCTTTCTTCTCTTTTCTTTCCTTTCTTTTCTTTTCCTTTTCCTTTTTTTTTCTTTCCCTTTCCCTCTCTTTTTTCCCCTCCCCCTATTCTCTTTTTTCCCGACAGCAGCGCAATTTTACCGACAATATCCTGACAGGTGGGGGGTGTCGCACCCCACATCCCCCCCCCCCCCCTTTGGAGACGCCCCCGGTGCATTTTCCTCCTTTTCAATCTACATTGCATTAAAATACCTAATTCTAATTCCCAATCTAAACAATTCAACATCATAATCACATGCACTTTGAAGAGAGCCAAAACACCCCCCCCCCCCCCCCCCTCCGAGTCTCTTTGCTCTAACGCGATATCACGTTTCATTTTTATTTGGGCGACTTTAGCAAAGAATAGTAACCAGTAGGGGCGCTGGTCCGAGAATGAGGATCGTCCTCATAAACAAGGATATCCTCATAAACGAGGACAAAATGCGTCCTCAAAAATAAGGGTTGTCTGCATTTTTGAGGACGTTTTTTTTCATCGGCGCTCTGGGGTTTCATGTTACAGAACGGCCTGCTGGCGATGCCAAAAATGGATTCCCCGGGGGAAAATAACCCTAGTTCACCGTCTACTTTCATGGGTTGTCCGTCTTCCCAAGGATTTATTGCTTATAATGTGAAAGTCTCTGTACAATGTCAATGTAAAATGCATCAAGAAAATCATTGCAGAATCTGTTTTTTGTATCGCCAATGCACCGATCAAAAATATGAAACGTCTGCAAAAATGCAGACGGTCCTTATTTTTGAGGACGCATCGGTCCGTGTTTACGAAGACGATCCTCGTTTATGAAGACGATCCTTATTCTTGGACCAGCGCCCCTACTGGTAACTCACATTTTAAATCTAGCAGCTTTACGATCTCAATCTCCAGCTCTCAGTATTTTGTCGAAGAAATTCATGAAGTCCGAGCTTGTAAGGTAAGTTAAACTCATTTACAATAAGTGCCCAGTAAGTTATTCATTATTCAGAATATTTAACGGGAATAGAAGAAATGTTAAGCTTTATTTTAATGTGGAATTGGTCGAATGAGATCAGGCAAGCTGGTTATTCATTTTTCTTTGTTGAGGGCAATCATGCCAGTCGCATCGGCTGCGCCTGCAGCGCCGCGGTCGCTAAATTTGGAGTTCCGCTGGGGTAAATCAAGCGTGTATGCTGTGTGTGTGTATGTGTGTGTAGGGATTCCCAAGCCTACAGTCAGTGAATGAAAATGGAAATTGTTGTTGTTGAGGTTGAGATAAGATAGCAGTCTTCAATCTTCCAAGCTGAAGCCTTCCTTTTATTTGCAACAAGTCTTGGCCTGGGTAAAATCAAAACATGCCAGTTGTGAAATTCAAATTAGGTTCAAATTAGGCTTAGGTTGTCCGCTTAAACGAGGATCATCTTTGTAAACACCGACAGACGTGTCCGCAAAAATAAGAGTTGTCAGCATTTTTGCAGGAGTTCATATTAGTGCTGTATTCAAACGTTTAACCGTCCGGTATCCGACCGCCCATGGCGGATTCCGTTTTCAATTGGACGGTTTCGTTTTCCTGATTTTTTTTTTTTTTTTTTTTTTTTTTTTTTTTTATAATTTTTTTTTAAAATTTTTTTTTTAAAGTTTCGATTTATGCCCCTCCACCTGGCACTATGCCTGGCAATGTCTCCCAGCTCAGTAATCTGTGTGTTGACTCACCACTCCAAAACTAGAACAACACTCCAATTTGTCTGTCATCTTGGTTTGAAAGTAATCTTTGTAATAGATCTCATCATCTCAATATGTAGTTTATAATAATAATTCATCCAACTTTTACACAAGGTTCTGTCCTAGGTCCTCTACTGTTTTTAATTTACATTAATAATCTTACACATTCTTCTAAAAACAACATTGTTACTATTATTTGTGACAAGTTCACAAGCAAATGCAGAGTCGGTAAAAAAAAAAAAAAAAAAAAAAAACGATTTTTTTTTTTTTTTTTTTTTTTTAATCGTTTAACCGAAAACCGTCCGGTTTTGACTGGCGGTTAAACGGAATTGGAGATATCCGTGATGTTACAGCACTAGTTCATATATCAAAAAAACGTATTCGGCAATGATTTTCTTCATGCATTTTACATCGACTTTGTTCAGAGACTTTCAGTTCACGTTATGAGCGATAAATCCTCGGAAGACAGACGACCCATAAAAGTAGCAGTGAACTGGGGGTATTTTCTTACGCGGAATCCATTTTTCGCATTGCCAGCGCGTGTTTCGGGAACCCGAAACCTGGAGAGCGCAGATCATAAAAATGATCCTTATTTTTTAGGACGCAAGTTGTCCACGTTTACGAGGATATCCTTGTATAAATACACTCTGATTATTACTTGTGAACATACATTTCAGATCAGCTCGAGGTCCGTAACTGAACATGGAGGAGAGCAGAGTGAAGGCTGTCCAAGCTCTGCTCATCAAGGCATGGAGAGAGAGATGGGCAGACTTCCAGTGGAGCACCAAGATCAAGCAGTATATCGTATCGGGATCAGCAGATGAGGCCAATCAAATAGCAGGTACAGGGTGCTACAAAAGATATCAGTCTATTTATTGCTACCTACATCCAACATTATTTTTGTTCAGTCCTTCACCATTGCAACCACTTCACTCAAACGTTAGTTTTTATTTAGGGGAACCTACATGTACATGTATAATCTACAAGCTAAGCTTTTTAATATGTTCCTCAGTCCTCACATTTCACCTTGTTACAAACCTACCATTAAAAAAAAAACTTTGACATCTTTACACAGACTTGATTATATAATGTCATACTTTGAGTATATTTTATATTCAAACCTGCTTTAGTGACCACCTGTCTACAAAGACCACCTGTTTACAAAAGCCACATTTCTTGTTTCCCTTGAAAATGGTTTCTCTTTGAAACATGTACTAAAGAAACCTGTCTACAAAGACCACCTGTCTACAAAGACCACTTTTTGTGTTTCCCTTGGGCGGTCGCTATAGAAAGGGTTGACTGTAATTTTGTCAATTATGTGAATTTTGTTTTTGTGAAGTGTGAAACAAATAAACTGGAAGCTTGAACATTCTTGGGTAGAGCTGTTTTCTTGTGCAAGTTCAAGGTGAAACCTGTATAGAAAGACCAACCGAGGGAGACAAGAAAAGTGGTCTGTATAGGCAGGTGGTCTTTAAGTGCAGGTTCCTTTGATGCAATTGTCAACTGTCAATGCGAATATCTAGGTATTCAAGGGAGACAAGGAATGTGTTCTTTATAAACAGGTGGTTGCTATTAAAAGCAAGTTTCACTGTATCTAATAAACCATCTTAACAATTTAATTCAGCACAGAAAAATATGTGTTATTGCCTGTTTACTGCACTCGCACAGCTACTACAGTAGTTGTTTCTCGACTGCATTTCTTACCACAGGATAGGTTATTTTGGTGTTTGTTTTCTTTTCTTTTCAATTTATGAGGGGGGGGGGCTAAAATGGCTAAATGAATATCTTAAAGTTGCCCGCAAACAGGTATATGTAGACCTAGAGTGTACACTGGCATCAATACTCTTTCGCTAAAGATTACATACTGACTGATATCTGTCATTGGATATTTTATGCTATCACATATTCTGTCACAAATATTTCTTTTTCTTTTACTGTTTGTAAACAGAGATGCTTTTGACCCAGACATTTGTTGGCCCTTCTCCAAGCAGCCTCATCCTGTCATATCTCAAACATGCCATCATGTCAGACGTAAGCAAATTATTTTTCTTCTCTCGTCCCCCTCTCCTTTCCCTCCATCCCCGCTTCCCCCTCTCTCTCTCTTCCTTCCCTTTTCTCTCTCTCCTCCTCTTCTCTCTCTGTCTCCTCTCTTCTCTCTGTCTCGCTCTCTACCTCCTTTCCCCTCTCTCCCTCCCCTCTTCCTTCCCTCCCCTTCTCAGTCCCTCCCTCCCTGCTATCCTCTTATCTCTCTCTACTCCACTTCTCTCTCTCAAATCCTCTCCCTCCCCCTCCCCAGTCACTCCCTCACCAGTCCCTTATTCCCCTCCTATTTCCTTTCTCTCTCTCTGTCTCTCTATCTCTCTTTCTCTCACTACCCTCCCCTCCCTATCCCCTCCTTTCATTCTCTCCCTCTTTGTATTGGACCTTGGTGCCAGTTTTATCAGAGTACTAGGGAAGTCATAATCATAATTGTGAATCATTCTAATTTTGTTTTACTTAAAAATAACAATACAAGTGTAAGTTGTTAAATCACTATCTGTACAACCTCAAACAAGATATGTTTTGAAAAAGAAATATATTTACTGAACCTCTGCTGCATTTCATTTGTAGTTAGTGGGGAGAATATATGCAAGAGGAGAGATACACCGTAAGTAATATATGTTGCTACCACATGTTGATATGATGATCAAGTCTATCAGAATCGCTGTCTGAGGAATTTTCTCTGCTGATAAATGACTGAATCTGATCAACACACACTTCATGTATTTTCATTGTTATCGTTGTCAATCTTTTTTTAATAACCTTTTTAATTTGTTGATAGTTGACAATAATATCGCATAAAGAAACAAAGATCTTTGGAAAGTGAAGAAAATAAATGATGACCTAAAATCGTGCACATAAAAGACAAAACGCAAACGCAAAACGCAAAACGCAAAAGCAGTACCCCGCTTATAAAGAGCTGCAAATTTGCGATTGAGTCAATCAAAATTATTAAATTAATTGTGAGTCCTGCTATCAATCACGCTTTTGCATTCCCATATCTCCTTTGTACATAGTTGCGATTGATATCGATCACAAAACAAGTTTAGATTCATTTCAACTTTTTATAAGACAGGGTCCAGAGACTCCAGATGTAAACTTCATGTAATGCTTCATAATACAAGTGAATATTACACTGTTTGATTAAAGATGCTTTGAACCACAATGGCACTGTAGCTAGCTCCAGGTTTGTTATCTTCATGTATATTACATCACATGATGTATTGATTGATTAATTGATTGCTTCTTGCTTTGACAGGTGGTGTCTCTGCCTGGAGTCCTGAGTGCCATGACAAAGTACAGTGATACTGCTGTCACAAGACCTTACTGCATGAGAAGTCTTCTAGAGATCTTCATCTTCTGCATGAACAAGCTAGGGTGAGCATCCAAACTAGATTGATGATGGAGGATTATCCGTTTGCAGAGATAAGGCCAAATTATATACATTTTCCAGCAGTTGGAAAAGATCAGAAAAATTTCACCTCAGATCTTGGAATTTAACATTTTGTGTGCATTATTCAACCATATGTCGTGCATTTAGTAGGAAGCCTTTTTATGCCTCCGCCACCAAAGGTGGTGCCGGAGGCATCATGTTTTCGGGTTGTCCGTCCGTACGTCCGTACGTCCGTCCCGTTTGACCGTTATCACAATATCTCAAGAACCATTTAAGATTTAAACTTAAGACTCGGGAATAGTATTTATCACCATAGGAAGACGATCTGATTAGATTTTGGAGTACGTAGGTCAAAGGTCACAGGTCACAGAGGTCAACTTATGAAATTCCATACATTGAGATTGTTATCATGATATCTCAAGAACCACTGGAGATTTAAACTTCAAACTTAGTGATAGTGTGTATCACTATAGGAAAACAATCTGATTAGATTTTGGAGCACGTAGGTCAAAGGTCAAGGGTCACAGAGGTCAACTTATGAAATTCCATACATTGAGATTGTTATCATGATATCTCAAGAACCACTGGAGATTTAAACTTCAAACTTAATGATAGTGTGTATCACCATAGGAAGACAATCTGATTAGATTTTGGAGCACGTAGGTCAAAGGTCAAGGGTCACAGAGGTCAACTTATGAAATTCCATACATTGAGATCGTTATCGCGATATCTCAAGAACCACTGGAGAATTTTCACTTACTTGAATTTGAAAAATTTCTTCCGTTTCGGTTTGTAAAATTGCTCTATGACGGAGGCATCATTTTCGACTGCGCGCAGTCGAATTCCATCTAGTTTACTTTAAAATAAGAATACAAGTGTAAGTTATTGAATCACTATCTGTGACTTTCAAAAAAGATATGTTTTTGAAAGAGAAAATGTATTTTATTTCTGTAGAGGAGAGATGCACTGTAATTTGCATATTTTGCTACCATGTGTTGAAATGATGATCCAGTATATCAGAATCGCTGTCTGAGGAATCTTCCATGCTGATAAATGACTGATCCTGATCAACACAAACTGTTTTCATCACATTTCAGTAGAGTTTGTTTGTATTGCGCCTTATAAATTGATCTAATTATTATTCATTACCGGTATAAGAACATGAATAAAATTAACTGAGTGGTAATGATGTTGTAATGGAGAGTATGTTACAGATCCAAAAGGACATTGATGACATTCTGTCTTGGCTGTCTACACACAGGGTTCGAAGTACGGTAGAGGAGGGTCTCCAGCTGAGCGTGGAGCTCCTGGAGGTGGTCCACTGGCTCCTGGCCTCCATCACCCAATCCCTGGAGCACCTCCAGGTGGAGTCGCGCGACATCATCACCATCTCACGCAACGTGGACTACATGAGCGACCTCCTGCGTAAGATGTGTAGCAGGGACAACCTCAAGCTCCTGCTCTACATAGGCAGGCTGGAGGATGAAGGGGAATGCCTGGCCAAACTGGAGGCAGCAACGGCAGCAATAGCAGGTTATTTTCACGAGTTCATAAGTTTACGAGTTCAAAAGTTCATAAGGTCTAGGTTCATGAGTTAAGAAGTTTGTAGGTTCATAAATTCATGAGTTTGTGGGTTCATAAATTCAGAGTTCATAAGCTTGTGGGTTCATAAATTCATGAGTTCATATAAGTTTGTGGGTTCATAAAGTCATAAGTTATGAGTATGTGAGTTCATAAGTTCTTGAGTTCATAACTCCATAAGTTCATGAGTTTACGAGTTCATAAGTTCTTGAGTTCATGACTTCATAAGTTCATGAGTTTACGAGTTCATAAGTTCTTGAGTTCATGACTTCATAAGTTCATGAGTTTACAAGTTCTTAATTCTTGAGTTCATGAGTTTATAAGTTTGTAATTTCATATGTTCATAAAGCGTGTATTGTAAAATCAGTGTAAGAACATCTTCCGAAAGGTTGACGACTTCTCCTGCGTAAGATGTGCAGCCGGGACAACCTCAAGCTCCTGCTCTACATAGGCATGAATTCATGAGTTCATGATTTCATAAGTTCATAGGTTCATAAATTCATAAGTTTGTGGGTTCATAAATTCATGAGTTCATAAGTTTGTGGGTTCATAAATTCATTGGCTCATAAGTTCGTAGGTTCATTGACTCTTTGAATGAATGGGGAATTTCATGAGTGAATATGTCATAAGTCGATGAGATGCTGAGCTTGCCACTATTTCTGTTGATATTAAGGCTGTGCACAACAGTGTAATGAAGTACCCGAGTACACTTCCATCCTCACAAGCGAATACTCGAATATTCGGACGCCATGTTTTTTTATAATTTTTTTGAATTTTTTTGAATTTTTTTGAATTTTTTTGATTTTTTTTGATTTTTTTGAATTTTTTTCTTTTTTTGCCACTACCATACCACTTGGCAGTTTCCCAGATCCCTCGCCGAAACTGCATGCAACTTTACTTTGAGTTGCAGTTGAAGGCGCCGATTTAATAAGAATAATAACGGTAAACAATGCTGTTTTAAAAACCAAAGATGGCAGAATAATTCATTTTCCTCGCAAGTCGAAACAGAAATCTGGACATTTGGTCCCAGTTTCTGAAAGGTAAGTTTGACAGCGCTTGAGTTGGGAAACATTTTTACCGACGGTACCATGCCAGCGGCTGCCGCTCTCCCTGGCACGGGTAAGCGTGGGCCTGGACATTTTTTTTTTTTTTTAATTTTTTTTTTTTTGCGGCCGAATATTCGGGTACGAGAAATCGTACCCGAGTAGTTGTTAACCGTGCGGGTACCATTCGACTACCCGTCGCAGCCTTAGTTGATATGATGATCCTATTTAGAATCGCTGTTCGGAAAGTAATTTCTGAGGACAAACCTATAGTTCTGATCAACACACTTTATCCAGCATGTCTAAACAAAATGTTTTAATGCAAATGAATAGCCAGATTACTCTCATTGCTGAGGGGAATCAACAGGAAATTATGTGTAGAGCATATGATATTGATTATTATATTCCACATACAAATAATCTTGTGCTACGATTGGTCAAAAGTAAGTCACGTAATGAAAGATAGTTCGCCCATCATTGATGGAAGAAGAAAAGTTTGTTGAACCGTGTAGAAAGTATTACTATCTACACAGTGCAACACACTTTTACTGAAGATTGTATACGTACGTATGTAAGTACTGCATGCTGTGTACATATCGTACACCGCTTGCTAGCTGTTAATTGATGACTTGTTGCCCTAAAATGACGGAAGAAGTGAAATGTTTTTTGATGTGGAATATGAAGCAAATAATCACCTCTTGGTTTCAGGTGATGGCAAACTATCACTTCCACGGCAATCTGACTGTATACTAGTGCTGTAAGTCAGACGCTATGTTCGTGTTCGGTTCGGTTCGGCAGAGTTCGGCAATTTTTCACCGAACTTGGTTCGGTTCGGGGTTCGGTAGTATAATAGCAAGCAGCGTTATTGTCACGGCGGTTGGCCTTCCGGGCCCGACCAGCACGGAGGACCTCTGCACACTGCTTCCGACCAGTACGAATTTCACATTAAAAACTGCTCTAAACGTAATTATTTGTGAAGAAAAATACTACTTACATTCGTATTTCCGTCTTGAATTGTGTTTTATTTTCAATTTTAAAAGAATCATGTTTTCAATTTGTCAATAAATGATATTTTTTAAAGATTTTCCGAGACGGTTGTCGTCTAATGTTAGAGTCATGAAAGCTGCCATCTGAATAGAAATTTAGGCTCGTCAATAACTGTTTTTTATAAGTTTTTATTTTTAACATCCGAACCAGACCTTTGCGTTCGGTTCGGTTCGGTTTGGTTCGGTTCGGAAGTGCCATGTTCGGCGAACTTCCGTTCGGTTCGGCGGTTCGGCTACAGCACTACTGTATACGCTATCTTTCCTCAGCTTCGCTTCGGAAAGATAGTTTGGAAAGATAGCTACATCCAGATTGCCTCGAAAGTGATAGTTGTCCCATCACCTTCACCGACGGTAATTATTTGCTTACGAATGGGAAATAATAGATTTGATCTTTAATTTCAGGTCCTGCAGGAGTGGTAGGTGGAGGGCCTCAAGGAGTTGGACCTGGAGCTGGACCTGGAGTTGGACCAGGAGTTGGAACTGGAGTTGGACCTGGAGTTGGACCTGGAATGGGACCTGTACTGGGATCTGGACCTGGACCGGCACCTTTGCCTGGAGCAGGGCCAGGAGACCCCACAGGTGGGACATCGTCCTCTACTCCCGGTACACCCGCTGCAGGAGCTGAGCCAGAGAAGGAACCCATAAAGCCCATCAGTAAGTGAGCAGTACATGCATCCAATTTATATATAGTGTGTATAGCGTAGAGTTGTGGTGATACAGTGGTTCATTCGCTTCATTTTTAGGGGTTGAATCCTGGCACAGCACTGAAATATTTTAACAAGACTGTCATTAATCCACGTTTACCACTCTCCACCCAGTGTAAATGAGTACTGCTCGGCTATATCGGGGTAATAATGCTCGAGTACCAGGACCGTAAGTAATGTATTTTGCTACCACGTGTTGATATGATGACCAAGTCTATCAGAATCGCTGTCAGAGGAATCTTCCTTTGCTGATAACTGACTGATCCTGATCAACACACACCTCATGTCTTATCTTTTCAATCCTTTTAATTACCTATCTTTTTAATTTGTTGATAATTGAAAATGATATCGCATAAAGAAACAAAAATGTTTGGAAAATGAAGAAAAGGATAAACCTAAAACCATGCATATAAAAACACAACACAATCAGATGTCAACTTCCTATATGCTTCATGCAAGTGTTTATATTTCACTGTTTGATTAAAGATTCTTTGAACCGCAATGGCAATGAAGCTAGCTCCAGGTTAGTTACTGGAAAAGACTGTAACCATCTCAAATCTGTATCTCTGCCTCACATTGTTGATTGATTGATTGCTTCTTGCTTGAGTACCAGGACCTTGTTTCATAAAACTTGTCATCAATGACAAGTACCACAGATCTATGACAAATCCAATCATAACCAATCAAATGTAAGAATTTCAGTAGCTTATAACAATTTTTAATTCTTGGTGTTGATGACAAGTATGATTGAAGTCGTGTGGCAAGGAATGACTATCGGTAGATGAGATAACTCATGTATTGCCAATTATTAATGATTCCTGTATCTTTATTTTCTTCAGCTCTCTGGACACGCATTGAGACAGCTATGACTGATCTGACAACGCTCATAAACAGTGTTTCAGGACCACAGCCTGTTGGCATGCAGCAGAGACAACAGAGTAGGTCATTTTCAATAATATAATAATAAAAATAATACAGTCAAACCTGTCTATAGCAACCACCCAAGGGAAACACAAAATGTGGTCTTTGTAGACAGGCTCCTTAAGTACATGATTCAATGAGAAACCATTTTCAAGGGAAACAACAAATGTGGCCTTTGTAGACAGGTGGTCACTAAAGCAGGTTTGACTTTATGTTCATTTATATAGTACTCTCACACTATTGTTTTCACACTGCTTTACATGGTATGAAGGTGGGAAAAAGAGTTCAATAAATACTTCTTCAAGTACTTCTGAAAGGCTTCTAGTGAGGGTGAGGTACAGATGTTCCGGGGCAGTTGATTACTGAAACTCAATCCAAATTGTCCAGTAGTTAGACAAGTCAAAGTACAGTAAATTTAGAAATACTTTCATTCCTTAAAGCCCCACCGCACTACTTATAGCTATTTGCGCCCTCTATATAGCAAACAATGCCTAATCTGTGACCGTTGGTCCCCCATGGTCCCCTTTTTCTTATGTTAGTTGAGAGCTGATTTGATGAGATAACCACCTGCCAGTGACTATGCAGGGAGGTCTAATCCGTCCTGGCCAAACTAGTGCAGATACGCTTTAAAAGCTCAAAGTCCTTCAAAATTGATCAAAATTTAAAGAGCTTTTGAGAGACCTGGCAGCAGCATAAGAGCATCTAGATGGTTTTCACTGTATATTGTTCAAAAGTGAATTTGAAGTCTATGCTCCGTTTTCTACTAAGATTGAAAGCTGGGTTTAAGATGGGTCTAAAATAAAGTTTGAACAAAAGAGTTTTCTGTATTGTTATTGTTGCACTATGCTGTTGATGTGATGATCCTATTCAGAATCGCTGTCTGAAAGTAATTTCTGAGGACAACATTTTAGTTCTGATCAACAGCATAGGTGCCAAGTTACATTGTATCAGGGTTCTTAGGCCTCCGCTACAAAGTTGTCGGAGGCATTATGTTTTCTGGTTGTCTGTACGTCTGCAAGTCCCGTTCTTGTTTGTTTGTTTAACCCATAGGAGTTCAGAGTTTTCTTATTTTCCAAATTAATCAGTTTTTCTACCTCAAATTGGCAACAATTTATCTTATTTTCCACGCCTTCATAATTTGAAAACACAAAAAGAAATTGTATTAAATGAACCAATGTGACACAAAATTGCAAAATTTAACTTAAAAACTGGCTATTTGTACACAAAATAGTGATTTGATATTTTGCACCACGTTGCCAATTTTGAGACCTTAATGATTGGTTACGATTCTTTTTCGAGAATGCCACAACAAACTGCATTGGAATTAGACTCAAACAGTTTCCAAATAGGAAATCAAAAACTGTGATATCCTTAATGATAATACATACATGCGGAAGAAGATTATGCAAAGCCCCACACTCTGTGCTGCTGTAGCATTTTGTAATCAACACTCTATCTGATATTAAGTTGTTAATAAGCAGCGTGAACCTTCTGTTTATTCAATAGGTAATCTAGAGCATCTATTATCAAGAACACCTCAACATTCCACTAAGAAAGACGTGAAGGCTGACTCTTTGAAGGTGAAACTAGAAAACAACCTTGCCGACATTGCCAGGTAGGTACTGCCGTATTAGGAGATAGTTTGCCCTTCAAATTTTCTACCGATTCTTTCTCTTCCTGCATTCCTAAAAGGCACCCGGCCACCTGTACAGTGATATGTGATTCACAGTTTATGGTTAATTTTAGTTTAATAGACCAGTTACATTGAGGGGGTTTAATAACAGACCAAACTAAACTGATGCACTTTGAATTTACCCAAATAATCCTGTGCTGGTCCCTAAGAAGCCCTGAAGATAAGTGGTGTAGCATCTTTAACAACACATTCTGAAACCAACTCTAAACTACTAAAACTACTGAGAGCACTGGTGTTAGAATTGGTTTTGGCAGTATTACCAGGACGAATCCTGTTTCACTATTGTGTTGATGTGATGATCCTATTCACAATCGCTGTCTGAAAGATAAGTTCTGAGGACAAACTTCTAGTTCTGATCAACAGAATATGCGCCAAGTTATAAGATTCTGTCAAAATTGGTTAGGAAAGAAAAATTGTAAATCATTGGCAATCTGCATGGGGACACAGACAAACTTAAGTGTAGTGTACTTTAGTGTTAACATGCCTGATTCTTTTTTATTTCATATAGAATGCCAATGCAGACACTTCCTACACGGGCCATTAGCTCGTGTGAGAACACTCTTTAGTATGAAAGCCTTGTGCTGTAGTGTGAATTTAACTGTAGTACTGTATTAAACCCATCCTCTTCTCACAAGGAATACCCATGCAGACCATTCACATAACACCCTTGGTCTGAAGGCATTGTACTGTTGTGTGAACATGACCGATTCCCTTTTATTCATACAGAATACCTATGCAGACCCTTCACACACGACCAATCAGCCGATGTGAGAACACGCTTGGGCTGAAGGCATTATGCTGTTGTGTGAATGTGATGACATTCATGGAAGTTGTATTGTACTGTTGTGTGAACATGACCAATTCTCTTAATATACAGAATACCTATGCAGACCCTTCACACACGACCAATCAGCCGATGTGAGAACACGCTTGGTCTGAAGGCATTGTGCTGTAGTGTGAATGTGATGACATTCATGGATGTTGTATTGTACTGTTGTGTGAACATGACCGATTCTCTTAATATACAGAATACCCTTGCAGACCCTTCACACAAGACCAATCAGCTGATGTGAGAACACGCTTGGTCTGATGGCATTATGCTGTAGTGTGAATGTGATGACATTCATGGAAGTTGTATTGTACTGTTGTGTGAACATGACCGATTCCCTTTTGTACATACAGAATACCTTTGCAGACCCTTCACACTCGACCCATCAGCCGATGTGAGAACACGCTTGGTCTGATGGCATTATGCTGTAGTGTGAATGTGATGACATTCATGAAAGTTGTATTGTACTGTTGTGTGAACATGACCGATTCCCTTTTGTACATACAGAATACCCATGCAGACCCTTCACACAAGACCAATCAGCCGATGTGAGAACACGCTTGGTCTGAAGGCATTGTGCTGTAGTGTGAATGTGATGACATTCATGGAGGCAGCTCTCAATCTGACCAGTGATATCCAACTCTTTGTAGACCAGCTCCTCCTCATGGAGAGACTACAGGTGAGTCTAGGACCTCTTTTTTTATGATATCCCTGCAAAACTGATCAATTTTACTTTGTCTGGTTCTAATGCACATTGAATTTCCACAAGTAATCCAGGAGTTTTATGATTAGGCCTAAAATAAAAACTTGTTGTATTGCCCTTTGCGACTGACCCAAAAATCTGAAAATCTATGGTCGGCATTTAAAAAAAGTTTTTATTTTTTATTTAACCGTTTTTTTAATTTTAATTATTTTTTATTAGTGAATACAAAAATATGTATTTTGTTTGTTTAAATGGGATATAAATGCATAATATCAAATTATTCCCAAATTCTCACTTGTCTTCTGCCCTATAGTTTCAAAATCCTAAAAAAGATATGAATAAAATGATGACTCTGAAACACATGTATTAAAGCATTAAAAACTGAAAAATATCAGCCAAAAGAGGGCAGGGGAAAACAAAACAAAACAACAACATTCAAATTGAAAAATATCGGCCAAAAAAAAGGGCGCAAAAAAAAGTATTAAAAAAAAAAAAAAATTCTGACCGACAGACCCATGTTTTGGCACCTAAAGGGCAACACAACAAGATTTTTATTTTAGGCCTTACCCCAAACTATTCTGTTGATGTGATGATCCTATTCAGAATCGCTGTCTGAAAGTTAATTTCTGAGGACAACATTTTAGTTCTGATCAACAGAATAGGTGCCAAGTTATCATGTTTTTTTTTTCTTGGTTTGAAAAGAAAGTTGTCAGCAAGTAATTTGTTTGAAAATGTGCAGAATACATGCCTTTTTATTGTGTGTCTGTAAAGTTTCACTGTTATGAGTTTTTTTTTCATCACAGTGCAGTATAGTAAATATAGCAGATGCATTGTATAAATTGATCTAATAATTATTGTTATTATTATTCCGAGAAGGTAAACTGTAACATCTTAGTGCTCTTTTCAACAGGCTCTGAAAGTAACCCCCAAATAGCAGTGTGAAAGGAGTCCTTGACTCCAAATATTACCCCAAATGACCTTCCAGTGCTCTCATAACACTGTTAATAGTAGTGTGAAAGGGGTCCTTTGCTCCACATATTACCCTCTACGTCTACGTCTATGCTGGTACTCGTCAAAAGGCTTTTCTCCAAACGAACTTGCTGACAACTTTGCAACACATCTTTCAGCAAATCATGTATAACAGTAATACATGGATTGTACTGTAAATGATCAAGAGAGAATTTGTGGATCGTGACAGAATCTCATCTTTCTTCCCCTCTCTCTCTCCATCTCTCTCTCCCTTCCTCCCTCTCTCTCTCTCCATCTCTCTCTCTCTCTCTCTCTCTCCCTCTCCCTCTCTCTCAGAACCTCCCCCGCTCTGCCATCTACCGTGAGCTGCTCCATGCAAGCTTCCTAGGGCTGGTGGAAGACAGCGATCCAACAGAGGAGATCAAATGGGTAGCATTCACTTTCCTCAAGGTAAGATTTACATTTCGCAACTCACTAAACTAAAAAGAATCTCAAATTGGCAACACGATCATTCTTTTGTGATGTCATTGTTATGTTATGATGGTGAACTCTTCCTTTTGTTTGTACACTAAAATATCAATTTCAATCTTTCTCCTAAGAAACTTTTATTTCAGGGTTTGGAGGTGTATTTTGGATATCATATTGCTCTATGTCCTCCAATGAAAAATTGAAATCATCCCCAACTCCTTCAGATCATCCAACCTCCTAAGCAGAGGGTAGCTGATGACAATAGGTCTTGTGTTGCCTTGGTTGAAGGTCTCCACTATCTTCTATGATTCCATGCTCTCCTGGACCCAGTTGATACTAAACAACTATGTGTTGCCATCAAGAAAGTCCATTATCAGAATTTTAGAGAGTTCTAATTTCCTCTTACCATCCCCAATTTCGTCAGATCATCCAGCGTCCCCAGCAGAGGGTGGCTTATGACACTGGGTCTTGTGAAGCCTCTGTTAAAGGTCTCCTAAGATTCTATGTTCTCCTAGACCCAGTGGATACCAAAAAACGATGTGTTGCCATCAAGCATTTCCATTATCAGAATTTCAAGTGAGTTTGATTTGTATTATTAATCCCCAGCTTCCTCAAATCATCCAGCGTCTTCAGCAGAGCATGGCTGATGACTCTGGGTCCTGTGAAGCCTTGGTTGAAGGTCTCCACTACCTCCTAAGATTCTATGTTCTCCTGGACCTTCTGGATACCAAGCAACGATGCGATGCCATCAAACAACTCCTTGGCCAGCTCTCAGCCTGTGGAGTACTCAATGAGACGCAAGTCAAAGAGATCACTACTGCAAGGTGAGCTGGCGTTGGTCTTCCTAAAAAAGTGACCAGGGCCATGTTTCATGAAACTTGTTGTCAATAACAAATGCTAAATTTCAATGGCAAATTTGCTCTCGGCCAATCAAGTGCCATGATTTCAGTAGCTTATAACAGTTATCGTAACTTGTTATTGATGACAAGTTTTATGAAAGGGGGCCCAGGACTTTATGATTAAAGTGGTGTGGCAAGGAATGACTAAATCAGATAATTCTTGACTGATCTACCCACACGGTGATGAGTGGAAAGTTCAATGATAGTATTTGTGTATGGTTGGATTTTGTAAAGATTGTATGAATCAGATGTGCTTATTTGTGTCTAGAGACCAACCTTTAATGTCACCATCCTAAAGGCCTGACTTGTTTTCAAATCCGGGTCCGTCAAAGTCGATTTGTTGAGTTTTGGTATGAGTGAGTATGTAATTAGTCCATGAGATTCCAATCTTAAGACAATTTCTGTTGATTTGATGATCCCATTCAGAATTGCTGTCTGAAAGCAATTTCTGATGACAAACCTATAGTTCTGATCAACAGACTTTATCCAGTATGTCTAAATTATATGTTTTATAGGCAAACAATAGCCAGATTACTATAACCCAACTCTGACTATTAAAGTTACTATGTACAGGGATGTGCATTTAAATCCGAAACAGAAAAGAAAGACATAGTCACCCATTCCCAGTGTAGTAATGGAACAAAGACTCCCACAATCGTACGTGTGTCTCCGAATATCCATCATGTTTGGACTTTGGATCGCATTGTTTGTGGTTCGAGTCCCGCCGCGGCACCAATAATAAATAATATTAAGAATAATATTCTGTTCTTATACAGTCCGGTGACATATCCACTCGACCACGGCACCTCTCCTTTGGCAAGACATTAATCTATATTTGCCACTCTCCGCCCAGGTGATGTAAATTGGGACTCAGCAGGAAGGAATCGCTTGAATGCTTTAGTGCCTTATTATGGCAGCTCAGCTACAGCCAGGTTAATAATATGATACTTTGTACTGAGTGCAGTATAGTATATTCATTTAGGATCTGCGCTATATACATGTAAATGGAATTATTATTCATTGACTTCTGCTTGATCTATGTACATGTATCTTTTCTCTAGATCCACCACAAGTAAACTCACAAGACCCACTGACACCCAGCAACCCGTCTCCCTTGTAGTCATGGTTACTAGGGCAGAGCCTCTCGTCAATTTTATTAAGGTAAAGTGGTCAATAGATTTTATGAAGGGTTGGGGGAGCAGGAAATTCAAACTTTTTGTTCCCAGAGTCAGTAGTCAGGAAATCTGGGGAATCTAAGTTCGTCCTTTCACTCTTCTGTCAGTTAATGACAATTAATCGAAAACTTGAATTTGAGTAAAGGAACGTACTGTATAAGCTGTTATTTTTCTGAGGGTTTTATTTTGTGTGAATATGCGAATTTAACAACACATGAAAATATTGCCACCTCATCATTCCAGAGTGGGAAAATATCAGCATAAAATTATGTGCTAGCATCCCCTCGTTCGCCAGTGCAATTTACCTGGCCACTGCCACTTCTGCCGTACATGTACATGCCCACACTCACTAAGCATGCTATACACAGCTTAATGTGTAGCAGTGGTTGCATTTGTACCGCTTGCAACAATCACTCTGTGATTTACCTTTCCGCGACAACAAGTGGGAAAGTTCTCATTTTTCAAAAGTCTCTTACTCTTTTGTAACTCTTGTCAATGATTGGAATACGTACTTGGTATTTTAATCACCATGCATTACGCCCGCACCCCTGTCTTAAAATCAATCAGCCTTCTCACTCTATGTCGGTACGGTACTCGGCTGTATGTGGTGCGATGGGCTGCTCAAACTTGTGTGTGTACGTACGTGTACTTTGCCTGTGTGTGTATGTCTTGGCGTGAGAAAGTTTGTGAATACGTCATGCCCATTCATTAATTCTGACGTGTGCTTTTCGCGAAAGCAACTACTCGCATAAACGTCTCTTAGCCTGTCAAAATATCAGCTTTAATATACAGTATGCAAATGTAGCAACCAGAAAACAGGTTTACACCAAACTATGGCAAGACATTAATTACCAGCTTTCCAACATTTGTTCATGTTGGTTGGTATCAAAGCATTTCAAACGCTATCTCCTCAAAATCATTTGTGAATATGATTGATTTCACTGTGTCAGGCATAACCAATCGTTAGAAGGGGAGTTTAATATATGAATTTACCTTTTGTGTCTTTTAAAGGTAAAGACCAGTATTGGAAACGCCCCAATTTCAAAAAATGAAATGGGAGCTCTCATTACCAATCATGTGAAAGAATATGTTTTGACTAATACATGATGATAAAAAATTTGCCGGGAAACCGCCTACTAATTCATATATTTGGTAAATTTGTTTCTCTCATGGTCTGTGAGAGATATAGGGTAGTCCCATATACATCTTTCTGTGTATAGTGCTTGTAACTTTACGAAGAATGGGCCAAATTTCTTATCATTTTGATGATTCCAGAACCTTGTAGATGCTAGTTGCTAGATGATCAACCTTTTCTGATCGATTCCACAACGTTTCTTTTACAATGCAATCGCATGACCATAACTGGTCTTTACCTTTAAGAGAGCAAGTAATATGTCTTAGAAGAATAAGCAATTAAGAGACTTATGACTCAATTACCAAGGGACTTGGTCATTGAGTATCAATTGCTCACCATAGGGTATTAACACACTGTCCTACATGAACCTGGGACATATGAAAGCAGGAAAGAGCCTTTATGTTTTGCATATATTTCTCGCTACTTTCCTTCCGCCTCCTAACAATCAATATTGTTTTGTATTTTCTCAGGCTGATGTGAAGAATCAAGATGAAATGTTGGTTCTGCTAGGTCATATGAAAGCAGGAAAGAGCTTTGATTACATGGTAGCAGCTGCTGCAGCCAGAAGTAAACTTCCAAAGTTCTCTGCGAAACTCATCAAGTAAGAAACATATTCTCTATTATTTATTGCCTTTAAATCCGATTTGCTACGACAATATATGATCTTATTAATTTTTTTTTAGCATAAATGTGCAAGTCTACCAACGTACATTCATTACTGACATTACAGTATAATAATGATAACAATGGTTCACATTATAACGCCCTTAATAATTTGTTTCCCAGCATAGTAGTGCTGTTCCAGCAGCCATTACGTGAAGCGCCGTCCTTACACAAAATAAAAGTCAGGACGACAGCACCACGATTACACAAAAGGGAGTGAATTTACATAATTATTTCCTTTGTCTCATACAAATTTATTTGGATTACGATGTGTGAATTCTGCATTGATTAAAAATAATCACAGACTTTGTCAGAAGCTGACTGATGTAGGTTTTACAGAAGAAAATTTGATTTAATCATTCATTCAATAAATAACAAAGATCTTAATTTGTTTTGTAAATATGCAGTAGCAGATTCACAATGATAACTGTAATATGATGTTGACTAAATCAATTCTCTTAAACTCAACCAGAAAACCATGCAATCTTATCTGAGACTTTCGGACATTAGTTTTCTACTGAATACTGAATACTATGATAAGTGCTGATTTTTATGCCTCTGTTACGAAGTACCCGGAGGCATTATGTTTTCGGGTTGTCCATCCGTACGTCCGTACGTCCCGTTCTCGTGATCGCGTTATCTGAAGAACCGATTGATGGATTCCTGCCAAACTTTGATCATGTATGTATCTTGCAGAGCCAATGAACTGATTGGATTTTGGGGTCACGAGGTCAAAGGTCAAAGGTCACAGGGCTCATTATGTATGCAAAAACAGGTCGTGATCGCGTTATCTCAAGAACCGATTGATGGATTCCTGCCAAACTTAGATAATGTACATGTATGTATCTTGTAGAGCCATTGAACTGAGTAGATTCTTGGGTCATGAGGTCAAAGGTCAAAGGTCATGGGCTCATTATGTATGCAAAAATAGCTTGTGAACGCATTCTCATTAGAACTGACACATGGATTACTATTTAATTCAGGACAACTTGCAGAGCCAATGAACTGAGTAGATTTTAGGTTCATGAGGTCAAAGATCAAAGGGTCATATATGTATATGAGAAATTGCTTGTAATCACGATATTCTGAGAACCTGTTAATGGATTACAATTGAACTTGAATTTGAAAAATTGCTCTATGACGGAGGCATCATTTTCGACTGCGCGCGGTCGAAGTTCCATCTAGTTTATAATTTATTACCTTAGAATCAACGAGATAGCAGAGAATGCTAAGGCATCTCAAGTCAGATCTTTTCCAATCCATGTTTGATAAAAAGATAAATAAGCAGTAGTGGAATAACCAATGATAACTGTAAAATGTTGTCGACAAAATTAAGCCTCCTAGAATCAACCAGGAAGCCATGAAATCAGAGACTTCCCGGCAATAACTTTCTACTCTTTATCTATTGCCTTAGAATCAACGAGATAGTGAAGCAGTCGAGCGCCGAGAATGCTAAGGCATCTCAAGTCAGAGCCGTCATCTTTGATCTCACATTCCTCATGCTGTGTCGAATTGCTCAGCTCTATGGAACTGAGGTAAGTCTTTATTCTTTAACGCGTTGACTTCTGAATTCTCTCATTGCCATAGGCTTAATACAGGGCCCAAGCAGTTTCAGTAGGCAATGGATTGACCCATGAAATGTATGAATGAGAATGAGATGCATCTAAGATTAAGCTTAAAGGTAAAGACCAGTATTGGAAACGCCCTAATTTCAAAAAATGAAATGGAAGCTCTCATTACCAATCATGTGAAAGAATATGTTTTGACTAATACATGATGATAAAAAATTTGCCGGGAAACCGCCTACTAATTCATATATTTGGTAAATTTGTTTCTCTCATGGTCTGTGAGAGATATAGGGTAGTCCCATATACATCTTTCTGTGTATAGTGCTTGTAACTTTACGAGGAATGGGCCAAATTTCTTATCATTTTGATGATTCCAGAACCTTGCAGATGCTAGATGCTAGATGATCAACCTTTTCTGATCGATTCCACAACGTTTCTTTCACAATGCAATCGCATGACCATAACTGGTCTTTACCTTTAAGCTTAAAGAGAAGGTTGAGTTCTGGGGAGAGGTGAAAAATAATTTGTGAGCGTTATCATTGTGATTATGCAAGTGCGGAAGAACATCAGAGTAAATATGACAAGAAACAGCTGATAAATGAGGCCTGATTTTATGCCACATATTTTTGTAGTCCCATATACATCTTACTATGTACAGTGCTTGTTACTCTACCACGACTGGGCCAAATTTCTCATCATTTTGATGACTCCAGAACATTGCAGTACACACCAATACTAATATGCTACATGATCAACCTTTTCTGATCGATTCAACACCACTTCTTTCCCGATGCAATCGCTTGACCAGAACTCAACTTTATCCTTAAGGGAATGGGAAAATTAAGTATTTAGTGGGTTCATGATACTTTGAATATTACTGCAGTTTACATTGGTCAGCTGTCGTTTGGGAACATCATTTCACTGCAGGTTCCTATGATTATGCCAGTTTTCAGGTGTTTGCATGATTTTTGGCCCTGTTACATTACTTTTTCAGGATTCTTAAGGCTTAATGTTGTATAGAATGGACTGGTGTCCAAGATTACTCTTTTAACCCTTTCGCGACAATTATTCCACATTTTGTGACTTGGCTCAATAACTTGTGATTCATAGCCCTAAAATATGCAAGATGCAGGAGTAGAAAAGGCAAAAATCTTGAATTTTCTACACACACTGCATCCATTTTTGTTTCATTACTGTATTGCATTTGATGCTAGGGTTTTTAAACATGAACATAATTTTTAAAGTCCTTAAAAGTGGCGACATAATGATAGATTAAAAAAAAACAATGTTACTCGATCATAGTTTGACTTTTTGGCCCCATCGTCACCCATGTTTATTGTTTTCAGAGACAGACTTTATGTAAATAATGTAGCAATTAAAGAAAATATGATTGTTGCCAATTTAAAGAATAGTTTGTGATCAATTTAGGCCTGGAAATAAATCCTGTCCTGAAAAACTTTTGAGTTTGACCTTCTGGTATCCTCATATTCACTAATCTAATAACTAGAAGAGTTTGCAATTGTGATACAGGTTTATTTCTCTGTAACTGAGCATTGACTACATACACTGTAGGAATAATAATCCAAGCATATGATGTCAAATGTAATGTAAGGAGAATCAGTATGTGAGGCCTCTGTTGATATGATGATCTTTTTGGCTATTAAATCTGAAATTAATTGATGAGTACAAACTTATGGTCTGATCAACCTGGGTTTAGGGTAAAGAGGGGCACTTAAAGTGAAAATACCTTGTTTGTTTGAACTACTCTCCCTGATTGAAATTAATAGGGTGAACTGTTGTTCCACATAGCCCCGGTAGAAAACCATTCGTTTGCAAGTAATTCAAAGAGTAATAGTCTAAAACCTTAGACTGACAGTTCTAGACAACACCAAATGACGAGTGTGGTACGTTTTTGTTTATTGGTGCGATACTAATGCCATAAGATGCTGATCATGCTGTTGTCTCAAGATTCTAATGAAGTACAAGCTGCAGTCAATTTGAGTATGATTGGTTGAAAGCGTACACGTGAACAGGCATTTATTTTGCCTAACACGTAATTTTGATAATGACCAGTCATTAGTAAAACCATGTTATAAAACATCATTTTAAGAAACAAATAAACATCTTATAAAACAAATAATACACATCATTTTGTTCAGGCATTAGTAAAATTACCCACACTCAGTACTTTGAGCGGGTAATTCTTACTAATGCCCTCGCTGCTGTATATTATTTGTATAATATTTAAATTCTGATTAGAAGTAACTTTCTTAAAGTCTTCTATCTGATGACCATGATGATATTTATACAAAGCCTTACCGTCATATCGGACAAGGATTTGACCTAACGTCTTCAATAATTTCCTCTATGTGGCATCGTTTCAGATGGTTGTATCAAGTAGCGGTGATTCTTTCTTTGAGACGTGGGTCCATCACTGTATGCCTGATGATACCAGTACCAAACCATTGAGTGGCATGACTGCAGCTGATCCGAATAAGATTGATATGCTACTCAACCAGTATCATACTGGTATGGAGTTCAAAACAGCGTAAGTAACACTTTAAGATTGTTTTCAGCGCTATAAGGAACTCTTGTCAGTGTTCAGACAGTATTATAATAAATATGTCTGAATGATCAATAGTTTAATGAAGGATTGCCACGCCTTCAAGCTTAGCTTATGTGGCAATTCTTCTTCATGATTATTTTGTTTAAGTATTACAATGTAAGTATTTTATGTTGATGATGTATACGTTATATAATTTGTCTATTATCATGATTATGTTGCAATTAGTTTGTAACTTTGGACAATGACCATGCAGGAAAAAAAAAATCAAATCAAATAAGCTTCTCAAATAGTATGACACTAGTAAGGTTTTCAATACAGCGAATGTGGCAATTTTAGATGTTATCAAGTTCATCAGGATGTTGAGAATACTAGGAATTAGAATGAGTTTTATGGCACATCCAAGATGTCTTTATGTCTGTGGTTCAGATAATTTTGTCAAACTGCTGCAGATCTCGACTTGCCCTTTTATGTAAATGGTCTATGAGATACTTGAGATGCCAATCTTAAAGACTTTTTCTGTTGAAATGATGATCCCATTCAGAATCGCTGTCTGAAAGCAATTTCTGAGGACAAACCAATAGTTCTGATCAACAGACTTTATCCAGCATGTCTGAACAATATGTTTTAAAAAGGCAAATGAATGTTTAATAGTTCATGATTCATCAGTGCCCAACTTGCTATTAAAAATGAGAAGATTTTTACAGGAGGCTACCGCAGATATATTTTAAAGCCTATCAGGATTGGCCAGGAGGGATTAGACCCTACCTGCGTGGTCACTGGCAGGTGGTTATCTCATCAAATCAGCTCTCAATTAACAAAAGAAAAAGGGGACCATAGGGGATCAACGGGTACCGCTTAGGCATTGTTTCCTATATAGAGGGCGCTTAAACTTATTCAACACATGCCTCTTGGGTAAGATAGTGAATAAATTGTTGTGCTTTCTCTCTCTACAGTCAAGTACGTTGGAGTGAGGTATGTTTGGCCATCCCATATGCTATTCAACATCTCTTACATGCCTGGGAATATGGCGCCGTCAGTGAAGAACATGTCTCGGTGAGTATTCTAGTGTTTTTTTTTTATTTACCAGTGGCTTTTTAGGAGGCACATTCTGCAAGTATTGAAGGTAAGTCCACCCTGATATTCAGTTGGTTTTGATAAAAGCTGAAAAATGAGAGAAACTGTTAAGTGAAAGTTTGAGCAGCGACTAAAAATAGGAAAGTTATGAATTATTGACATGGTCATCAGTGAAACAAAAATTGGCAACATTGTGACGTATCTTGCAAGCTTCTCTCCAATTAGCTCTGTACAGAAAATTTTGTAAACTTTCGTTTTCTTAGTTATTGATGACAGGAGAGATTAGTTTCATGCAATAATTATATTGAGAGTGGAAGAATAAAACTTTTTGATTTTCATTTTCTTTAAATATTGCACAAAGCCTCTTGATCCGTACGTTTCAAATAAGTTATTAGGTTTTGATTGGTGATAGCTTGCAATGCAAGCCGTTTTAAGGAGCTTTGCCTTGAGTTTCATAGTAGGACTTTCAATTCATCTGCCATGTGCTTTTACAGCATAAAGTTTCAATCATTTTTGTTTTGTATTCTGTTTCACATATTTGTTACACACTTTGTTAAAGTATTAAAAAAAATGTTGTCAATTCAAACAGAAGGAGACAGTTCATAATCAAACATCTCTTCATCAATTTCACAGAAACTGGTTGATAATTTGAAGGGGCGTGTTTGCTGTCTGCCGATCTGCTGCGTGGCGTGGCTGTGTAGTCACATGACCTCCCTGTCGACCAATGAGCGCAGCAAGGCTCACAGGCTGCTGCAGATGATGATGACATCGGTAGCGAATAGCGCCACCTCCCTGCAGATGTATGACACTGAGAGGTATGTTATGTGGGGTATCGATTCCTATGATTGTGACGCAATGTAGGTTATAAGGATACCTGTGCATGAAGACTTCAGTCAATGTACGTTCCATTGCTGATTGTCAATAGGAGTGTTTCACAAAGACGAAGATTGACTTAAAGTTGAACTTAACTATGGCAGGCCATTTATGCCACTGGTTGCTCTCACCATCGGTCTCTCTATTGTGATCTTTAGGTAATTTTTTTCTTCTTCAATAATGAACTATAAAAAAATGTTAATTCTGTAGATTTGTGACCACGATTGGTGAGAAACCAATGCCAGTAAATGATGAGAGAAAATAGTGGCATGAACGACCTGCCATAGTTAAGTCCAGCTTAAAATTGATCTTAGTCTTTGTGAAACTCTCCCCTGGGGTTCCAAAACTGCAAATATTGTGTGCATTATTCCAAAACCCCATTTATTAACTTGTAAAGAAGGCAAATGAGAGTTTATAAGACAACTTTGCTCTTAGGTAGCATGGGAGATAAAGCAAGAGCATGACAGGACATGCAGGTACTTTACACCACTTAGCCCCCCCCTCCCCCCCCCCTCCCTGTACAAACGGCTGCAGATCTTGACTTTCCATTTATTTTAATTGTCTATGAGATGCCAATCTTAAGACATTTTCTGTTGAAACGATGATCCTATTCAGAATCGCTGTCTGAAAGCAATTTCTGAGGACAAACCAACAGTTCTGATCAACAGACTTTATCCAGTATGTCAAAACAATAAGGCAAATGATCAGCTAGTTTACTATAACCCAACTCTGACTGAGCTACTATATGTTCAGGATAGATTGACATTGGTAAATAAAATACAATGTGTATTTACCCCTACTTTTCTTTTAAAAAGGTATGCAGCGGTACTCTTTACATGCATGTCAACACCCGTGCAAAATTTCACGTCGATTGGACTTCCATGGCCAAGATCTTTAGGGGGAGGGGGTGCGTGGTCAAATTGATCCTCTTCCAGTCAAAAATTGCTCTCAGAAAGCCCAGAGGTTAACCCTCTATTAGCAAAATACAATCTCTAATTGAGGAGCTGTAGCATCACATCATAGGCTGTCTACTCTAAAAAAAATGGCCCATTTTTTGTGCGAGAAATACTTAAAGAGAAACTTGAGTTCTGGGGAGAGAAAAACAATAATTTGTGAGCAATTTCATTGTTATTATGCAATTGTGGAAGAACATCATAGAAAAAGCTCTTCAAAAGACTTCATATTATAAATATGACATGTAACAGCTTAAAAATGTGAGCCTCATTTTTATGCCACATGTTTGTGTAGTCCCGTATACATCTTTCTGTGTACAGTACTTGTTACTTTTACCAAGACTGGGCCAAATTTCTTATCATTTGCACTTGCAGTACATACCAATACTTATAGGCTTTCTTTCACAATGCAATCGCATGACCAGGGGCCCATTGCATAAAACTTACCATTGATAGTAACTTTGCCATCAATGGCAACTACCATGGTAACAGGGCTCAACAGCCAATCAAAATCAAGGTTTCCATGGTAGTTTCCATTGATGGCAAAGTTACCATCAATGGTAAGTTTTGTGCAACGGGGCCCAGAACTCAACTTTGTCTTTAACTTTTTGTGGATTAGAACATTAAATATGAGCCATATTCTGTATGTCAGATGGAAGACTGATTTTAGGTGAAGTCTTTAATCTCAATACAGTATGTCATCTGGGATCTTGAAATTAAAAGCTATTTTCAGTTTGTAGATTTATCATTTAAAGAGTTCAGTTCAAAGATTTCAAATTATACCTTAATCTTTTTTTCCAGGAATAGCCTCATGACAACGATTGTGAAGAAGATGTCCACCTCAGTGCTAGGCAGCGACTCCAAGATCCACAGGGAACCCGCCTCCGTCGTTGCACCTGGCCCCACCCTTCCCCCTGAGCCGAACACGGCCTCTCTCGAGACCCTCACAGGAACCTTCAGGGCCATCGTCCAGAGGGGCGTGGTCGACAAGAAGAGCTTGACCACCATGGATGCTCTGCTGACCAGTGGGGGCGCTCTATGGTTCTGTCGGAGCATCGTCTTGGAGCTGACCTCTCTTCATAGGAAGGATGACCTTACAACCGCAGGTAATATATATATATATATATATATATATATATATATTTTTTAAATATTTTTTACAGAATCTTATATACCTTTTAGAACAGTAATACCTGTAGATGTAGAAGTGAAGGTTTGTGTAATATACAGGTGTGATCTAGAGAGCAAGGAACCAAATTGGTGTATTTTGGCATGATCAGAGGTTTTTGAATATCCTTAAGAAGTTATGTTGACTTCTGTTAGTGGAATTGCATTTTGATATCGAGTGTCAAGAAGCATTCATGAATAGGTGATTGTGTAGGAGGAATTGAAAATCATTGCCAAAAGGTATTTCAAATCCTTTGAATTCAAACTTGATACCAGTATGCATCATCGTAGGAAAGCTCAGTGATTACTGTATTTGGGTTGTTGTTGACATGATGATTTTAAGTTTTTCAGAATCGCTGGTCAGAGGATTTTTCTCTGCTGATAACTGACTAATCCTGATCAACACAAACCTCATGTAATCCTATTTTCATGCTCCTTTATCAAGTGTCAAGAAGCATTCATGAAGGGGTGATTGTATAGGAAGAAATGATTAAACATCATATAAGGCTTTGGAATATTCAAAATTATATATGGATAAAGAAATTTTGTTCAGTTTTATCTAGTTGTGTTTGAAATGTTAGAGCATTTAGCATTGCCTTTCATTTGACATTGCTATTTTTTCACATGAGAATCACAAGGATTATAAAACTCATAAATTATTTTTCTTTTTTTAAAAGGACTCTCTATAATTTGATTAGTCAATCCGCAATTTTTCTTTACTTTCTGTTGCAAACAGTTGAGATTGCTGTGGCCCTCTTCCAGGTGGACATTGAGCAGATGACCCTGACCCTTCTGCGACGGGTCATTCCTCGTCTCCTGGCCGACCTGTCAAACATTGACCGCTTATCCAACCCCCGTGGCAAGGCTCTGGCCAAGCTGGTGGTCTGGTGTATAGCAGCAACCCTGACCAGTCAAAACAGCTTCAGAGGTAAGACCAATTTGGTCGTTTATTGACCACCTAAGGACATATTTACACTTGAGGCCATACCGCTTGAAACAAAAATCTCCATTGCAGAGTTAAATGCAAAGGCCCGAATTCACAAAGCAAGGTTTGAGCTCAAACCTCCTTTTGTTTCGCCAAACCTCCTTTTGTTCTTTACAAACCAGGTTTGTAAAAAATGCGTAAAACGCGTCACATGACGTACGAAAACCAAGGTTTGTCGACAAACCTCCTTTGTGAATTTGGGCCATAGAGTTTACCTGTTTTTTTGTTTGTCTTCCTTTCTGTCTTATTCTCTGTCTCATTCTCTCTCTCTCTCTCTCTTTCTCTCTCTCCCCTCTTGCTGTCTCTTTCACGACTTTCCATATCACATGTTCTTTCTGTCATATTCTATCCTTTTCACCATCTCTCTTTTATATCGCTCTTCCTTGTCTCCCCCTCTCTCTCTCTCTCTCTCTTTCTTTCTGTCTCTCTCTCCCTCACTGTCTTTTTCAATCCTTTCTCTATCCCGTGGTCAAGGTTCTTACCCTGCATTTTCTTTTATTTTTTCACTTCTGAACAACGCAGATTCCAAGTCCAAGGAAAGTCCATCCAGAATCGTAAGAGGGCGCAAGAGAGGAAGAGGAGACACTGAAAGAGAGGTAACCTTTCTAATTCTTCTTCAACTAAAGTTTATTATTCCATTCTGATATTGCCTTCCCTAAAAAATGTTCGAGAGATGATATTAACCATGAAGTTGGTAAAAGGATATTTCAAATCCTTTGATTTCAAACTTGATACCAGTTTGCATCATCATAGGAAAGCTAAGTGATTACTGTAATTTGGTTGTTGTTGACATGATGATTTTAAGTTTTTCAGAATCGCTGTCTGAGGATTTTTTTTCTCTGCTGATAACTGACTGATCCTGATCAACACAAACCTCATGCAATCTTATTTTCATTCCACTTTTTTGTTGCATCACGTAATGAAGGAATGATATTTCCATTATTTGAATGAAGAAAAAAAACACTCTTTTGTGATTAATTACATAGAATAATATGATTAAAAAGAATGTTTTTGTCAGAATAGAAGATTCTTATTTCTTTATTTCATTTTTATTTTTTGCTTCTTTTTTGCTTCATGTCATTCATTGTGTTATTATCCATTCTCTCTCATATCCCTCTCTTTCTCTATCTCTCTCTATATGTTTCTCTGTTTTTCTCATACTCCCCATCTCTCTATCTCTCTCTCACTCTCCATTTTCTCTCCCTCTCTTCCTCATTATATTTTGTTCCCTTTTGCTCTATCTTTTTATTTCTCTTTTACCCTGTATCTCTCTCTTTTCCTCTCCCTCTCTTCCTCTTTATATTTTGTTCCCTTTTGCTCTATCTCTCTATTTTTCTGTCGCATGCTCTTTCACTTTCTCAATCATTATTTCTTTTCCTCTTCCTCTCCCTTACTCTCTTTATTATGTTTTCTCTTGCTCTATCTCTCTATTTCTTTCTTATTCTCTCTTTTGCTCTCTGTCTATCATTCTTTCTCTTCCCCTCCCTCTCTTCTTTATATTTTGTTCCCTTTTGCTCTATCTTTTTATTTCTCTTTCACTCTGTATCTCTCTCTTTTCTTTTCCCTCTCTTCCTCTTGCTCTATCTCCCTATTTTTCTTTCTTGTGCTCTCTTCACTCTCCCCCCCCCCCTCTCCCCCCCCCCCCTCTCTCTCTCCCCCCTCTCTCTCTCCCCCCTCTCTCTCTCTCCCCCCTCTCTCCCCCTCTCTCCCCCTCTCTCTCTCCCCCCTCTCTCTCTCTCTCTCTCTCTCTCCCTCTCTCTCTCTCTCTCATTCCTTCTCTCCCATTCTTGATCTCTTCTCATCTCCATCTCGTAGGAGGCTATAAGTCTAAGAGAGGAGAACCGTCCCTCTAAGCTGAGGAAGCTGCTCAGTACTGCAGAAGAGGAAGGGGCCTCCACTCCCCTCCCAGGTAAGGATGATAACCTCACAATAAGCATCTCAGTTACGTCAAATAAATATCACATCGCTACCATTCTTTTAAGATAATGTTGGTTGGTCGGTTTGTTTGTTTTACCTGACTGTTGAGAAAGCATGTGTGTACTTGTAAATAATCAACCAGGGGACTGATGGCTTTAAGTCCTCACAGAGGGACTTAGTAATGAGGATTAATGCCTTACCAAATGGCACTAGCGCATCGGCTAGGTTTCACACCTCGGATCTCCTGGTTACAAGACCACTGCTCTACCACCACGCCTCCGTAAATGATAATGTAGGGACATGCTTGACATACATTTTGTAGCAACCATTATATTACAGAGAGATGTTGTGATATGATATAAGGTCACCCAAAGCCTTACTGTCTGAGAGCAAGTGCTGAACTTTTATTTTTCTATTACAGTGTATAAAAGATATTTCTCTTATAGAGTGGTGAAGTGTGACGTCATCAAAAATCTATTTTTAGAATTTCTCAATTTTTTCTTCATATTCCGAAATAACATCAAAACTAATGTCCAAATGTCGATAACCAATTGAATATGTTAAGTATTGGCTGAGATATGACCATCTGAATGAATATATGTCCTATAGGAACTCAGTGTTATATTCTCTGGCTCCTAACCATTAGGAGCCAGAGCATATAACACTGAGTTCCTATGGGGAGTATATTTATTCAGATGGTCATATCTCGGCCAATACTTAACATATTCAATTGGTTTTCGACATTTGGACATAATTTTTGGTGTTCTTTCGGAATATGAAGAAAAAATTGAGAAATTCTAAAAATTGATTTTTATGACGTCACAGCTTCGGTACTCTATACCGTGATATCTTTTGTGTGTCTATCATGTATATACTTTGTGACATATGTAAAGAACCATCCGAGGCATAAAACTTTATCTTGATACCAGTATGCATCACCATAGGAAGGCTGAGTGATGACCATATTTGGGTTGTTGTTGATATGATGACCAAGTCTATCAGAATTGCTGTCTGAGGAATCTTCTTTGCTGATAAATGACTGATCCTGATCAACACACACCTCATGCAATTTTATTTTCATTCCCCTTTTTCTTTCATATCACAAAATGAAGGAATTATACATGTATTTTCATTATTAAAATTATCATTTACATACTGGTAGTTAAGAAGAAGGTTTGGTTCTGGTTAAGGTTGAAAATAGGTGTAAGCTTTCTCATTCTTGTTATGTTAGTTTAGAAGATTATCAAAATAGTAATGCCTGCTGGAAAGGATTGCTCTTTCAAATAATCTCATATTCAAAATATGGCCAGAAATACTTTCACGGTGCATGTGTGTGTCATCCCTCTTACCCATTTATGTGCGCAGAGCTTGGGAATACCAGCAGATTATTTAATTTTGTGTTATTTTTTGTATTATTCCAAAACATGAACGTATACACTAATTTGTATATGTGATACATTATCAACCTTTCCCAAGGGCTTTTCATAGTTTCTTTCACAATGTAATCACATGACCAGGGGCCGTTGCATAAAATTTGTTATCAATAACAAATGCTAAATTTCTATGACAAATTTGTTCTCAGCCAATTAAATGCCTTGTTATCAAAAGCTTGTAACAGCTATCGTAACAAGTTTTCATGAAACATGGCCCCAAACCCAAATTTATTTTTAATTATTCATAACCATTTGCAGGTGCTAGCTCTTGAATAGCATTAATACTGCAAGTTTTGAATGTTACCTGAAAAGCCAACATGAAGATCGATTTTGTTTTTGTTTTATTCCTTCTTTCATAAGCTGGTAGTGTGAATGTGAGTACAGCAAACAGCAGCTTCCTGGTGATGCAGGCACAGCAGCAGTATGTGGAACCACTTCATGTTGCTCTCGGTAAGCATAAAATTGTAGTTTAGCAGAAGTGAAGATGGAGGTGGTGGTGATGATGGTGATGGTGATGTTAGTGATGATAATTATGATTATGGATGCACATGTAGTCATGAGGGATATAGGCAGTAATGGATATGCCAGAAGGGTGTTAACTTGTATACCTTAACACAAAGTTAACGCTCTTCTGGCTCTGCACAGACAGTTTGATGGCAATGATGATAACGATATGGTGATATTGATGATATGGTGGTGATGGTAACAGTGATAGTGATGATGATGGTGGTGATGTTGGTGATGGTGATAGTGAATGTGATATTGATGGTGATGTTGATGGTGATATTGATGATGGTGATAATGATGATGGTAATGATGGTGAAGGTGATGGTGATGATGATGTTGAAGTTAATGATGATGTTGATAATGGTGATAATTGTGATGGTATTGATGATGACGATGGTGATGACAGTAATTACAATGACATTATAGCTACAAGCAGTTACGAATAAGTGCATTTTGCCATGACCAATTACCAAGTCTACCCCTCTTTCTTTTTTTCTCATCTTATCTTAGTCTCTGCATTCAGACTCTTTGCATCCATCTTGGCATCAGGCATCATCAACCCAAGAACAGAGTTCATCCTCTCCTTTGTGCAGGAAGTTCTCTATTGCGGGGAAACCATCAGCACCAATGTCCTACAGTTTATGCCTGTTACCATGGTAAGAAAGCAGTACTCCAAATTAATTAGTCAAAGATATAGGGTTAGGGTTCTGGTTCAATTAGGTTTTTTCTCAGGTGAAGTTATTGGCTCTAATGTCCCTCGGTTTATGCATGTCACTGTGATAAAATACGGGTGATCAGCATATCTTTTGTTTGAAGCCAGAAACAGTGCTAAAGCCTATCTGCACTAGTATGGCCAGGAGGCATTAGACCTCCCCATGTGATCAATGGCAGGTGGTTATCTCATCAAATCAGCTCTCAATTAACCTAAGAAAAAGGGGATCATGGGTGATCAACGGGTACCGCTTAGGCATTGTTGGCTATATAGAGGGCGCAAGTAGCTACAAGTAGTGCAGTCCCGCCTTAAATGATATTAGTTGATGGCTCCTTCTTGCTCCAAACGGATGACATCCTAATGAGTTACATGTATGGGGCCCTTATGTCCGGGGTGCCTGTTAGTGTAGAGTCAGGTGTTTAAGGGTTATGGTTAGGTAATAGTGCTTGTTCCATAGTTGAGGTTCAGAATTAGGTTAGTGTCGGAAATGGGCCATAGAACATTTTTCAGTGGAGCAGTTTTAGAACCAAAACAACATTTACCCTTTTTTAAATACCTTATTCGTTGAAAATACTACTTTATATCAATGGAAAACTGAATGAATGCAAAATACAAATATAAAGGAATACAAAACGTTTTACCTTTCAGTATTGCACAAAAGCATATTAAAACCTCATTTTCTGCGCCCCTCCAACTTATGGGTCAATAGGGGTCAAATCCTTTGCCACCAAGTTGCAACTTATACCCCAACTGCGATACCATGAGACAAGTGTTGATGATGGATCGTTTTGTCACTGTTTATCTTGTCAAAAAAACATTGCCAAAAGGTATTTTAAATCCTTTGAATTCAAACTGAATATCAGTATGCATCGTCATAGGAAAGCTAAGTGATTACTGTATTTTGGTTGTTGTTGACATGATGATTTTAGTTTCTCAGAATCGCTGGTCAGAGGATTTTTCTCTGCTGATAACTGACTGATCCTGATCAACACAGACTTTGTGTAATCTGATTTTCATTCCCCTGTTTTGTCACATGGATAATGAGGAAGGGCAAGAAACATTGAACTCTGCAAGTTACTATTCAGGTATTGCAACTGAAATGCACTTTCTCTTTTCGTTTATGATCCAGGCCACCCACCTTCTCAATACACTCTCTGGCGTCTTCATGCAGGACTTGGCCTTAGCCATTGGACAGCTCGAGGGACCAACACCAAGGAGAATGGCTGCCAAAGCTCTGTGTCAAACAAGGAGATAATAGAGAATCCAGGACATGACCCTTAACCTTTGACCCTTGTTCCTTGTGATCCAGGCCACGCACCTTCTCAATACACTCTCTGGCGTCTTCATGCAGGACTTGGCCTTAGCCATTGGACAGCTCGAAGGACCAACACCAAGGAGAATGGCTGCTAAAGCTCTGTGTCAAACAAGGAGATAATAGAGATTCCAGGACTTGACCCTTAACTCTTAACCCTTGACCCTTGTACCTTGCTATAGGCTGGTCGCTCAGTAGTGACAATGCCCAACCCCATTCTCAACTCTCAAAATTAAAAAACTTGGTTGAAGACCAATTTTTGTAAGGAATGAAATTGTGAAAGGACCAAATCTGTGTGAGGACATGTATTGAGGAGAATACTTTGTGATATCCTTGTACATGTATATGATATGGAGACAGGAGATGAGTTAAACATCTGAATGTTGACAGAAATTGTGCCAGCTTACAGAGGAAGTTTTCTTTTGCATGAACTGCTTGGATTCTTATAAGCATCCTGATGTAATGCTATTAGCTTGACTCTTTCGGAATGAAAAATGAAATAGATAGATTATATATTATCGGAAAGCATATGAGCCATAGATTACAATAATATATCTTACATGCCATTTTAGTTTCTTTCAGACGAGTAACAGCTCTCTGAAAACTCAAAATTTGTAATTCTATGTTCATTCAGCTTTACATTAATAAAAAAATTGTATTTTCATCGGATAGGGTCTTTAAGGGCAATGTCCACATATTTTGTGGACCCTTGGATAGAACCATATTTATTGTGGAATATGATGAAGAAGTGTTCACTGAAGAGTTATGTTGAATAGGATATGCAAGTGAGATTGGGTGGAGAGGTGACAGAAAGAGGGGGAGAGAGAGAGAGAGAGAGAGAGAGTAGTGGGAGAGAGATAGAGACAGATGGACAAACAGACAGACAGAGTGGAAACAACTCTCTCCTAGGATAGTATCAGATAGGCATAGTTTAATCCTCACCAATCATGGATTGCACATTACCTTTATGTGTCATAAGATGCATTAGAGAAAAAGCTGTCTGACTGAATTGGACGTTATGTTGAAAACTTTTGTTAGCTCAAAGCAAATATACAGTGTATTATTCATGTCCATCTCATCACATTTGTGTTCTGCGTAGCTACCATGGCAGGTAATTTATCTTTTTTATTTTGTTGGTGGAAATTTGCATTGGGTTCATAAAGGTCATTGAGAGGCTCTCTTCAAGGCTCAATAGGAAGTTCCCTCTTGACATCAATAGTGAAGGGCAAAGAAAAAAGGGTAACCAATTTCAACAATTCGCCAACAAGATTCTAAACAATTTCACAACTATGGATTGGATAAAGCAGAAGTTTTTCAAGAATTTAATGGAGATGTGACAAACTAAAATAACTTTGTCTCAATGGTTTTATTTTATTATACAGTGAAACCTGTTTATAAACACCACCCAGGTGAAACATGAAAAGTGGTTGATATGTCCAGGTCCCTATAGAGCAGGTTTCAATGAGAAACCATATTCAAGGGAAACAAAGAACGTGGTCTCTATAGATAGGTGGTCACTCAAGCAGGTTTGATTGTACTTGTATATCTATGGCCATTTTCGATTTCGTTCTAGAAATGCAGAATTTCTCAGTGCAAGAGAGCAGCACCTAAACTGTTTCTATGTGGCTATGGAGATTGCTAGACCTTACCTGGATCAGTTACATCTCGCATAAATGTCACGATCTTATTGTAGCCAAGTGTTCCATGTAATTAATTAAATACAAGAGGCTGCATGGAGAATGATAATGTCACAACAGTTTGATAGAAAAGAAAAAAATTCATGTATAGAGCGCAATTTCAATATTCTATTTATTCCAAACCTTACTCTCCAGGACCCCATTTCACAAAACTTGTCATCAGTGACAAATGACAGATTTTTGTCATTTGTCATTGCAAAAAGGCCCTGTGAAATGGGTCCCTGTTAGATGCCTTTGTAAACAATCTTGTCTATCTGCATTGCCAGTCCATCATTTTTTTTATTTTCTATGTTGACCATGTACATTGTAAATAAGTAATGTAATAAATGAATATGCAATCTCAGCAAACAGTCATATGAACTTCATGTGTTACTTCTTGTGTGGCTAAGCTGTATGAGAGTGAGAGTAATTTTTGCAATATTTTGGACAGATAAATTACAGGGATTATGTGATATATATGAAATGAAATTGTTGAGAGTACATGTATTATGAGAAGCAAGGTAGCCGAGATTGAAAATGAACATAAAGAAAAAATCTATAAAAGTGATGAAAACTTATTTCCAATATACTGTACATCAAGTATTTTCAATTTTCACTCTTAATATCAGGAGAAAAAGGGAGACTGACAATAAAGTTAGTATTGTGCTTTTGGGGCTTTTCTCATTCTGTGCTTGTTTTCTCCCCCTCCCCCCCCCCCCTGTCTTTCTTTCTCTTTTTTTTTGACAGATATATTACTGGTATTATTTCATGTATATGAAATGAAATTGTTGGAAGTACATGTATTATGAGAAGCAAGATAGCCGAGATCGAAAACAAACATCAAGAAAAAATATGTAAAGTGATGAAAACTTGTTTCATGTACATCAAGTGTTTCATTTTTTACTCTCAATAAGAGAAATGGAGACTGAAAATAATATTGGTATTGTGCTTTTGGGGCTTTGCTCATTCTGGGCTTGCTTTCTCCCCCCCCCCCCCCCTGTCCTTCTTTCTCCCCCCCCCCCCCCCTCCATCTCTCTTACGACCCGACCTACTTGTTTTTGAACATGAAAAATAACCCATCACCTCTTTCTCTCTCTCTCTCTCTCTCTCTCTCTCTCTCTCTCTCTCTCTCTCTAGAACACGTAGCCATTTCATACAAGTATATAACAATACATATGGAAAATGTAATACTCGCTACCGAAGAGATGCAGAGGTCAAATAACAATTGACAAAACGGATTATATTAATATGAATTGTATGCCATACAGCAGGCCAGACATACAGGTACATACAGGCGCGTACGCAGGGGGGGGTTTTGGGGGTTAAACCCCCCCTTTGGAAATTTTTTGTGTGTAAACCCCCCTAAAAAAAACCTAAAACCCCCCCCCCCCCCCCTTTTGGATTTTTTTTTTTTTTTTTTTTTTTTTTTTTTTTTTATTATTAAAAAAAAAAAAAAAAAAAAAAATTATTCCCATGGCCGACCTAAAAAAGGTGACCTTACCCCCCCCCCAACGGAGCAAAATGTCAAATTTCCAAATTTCGAGACCAAAAAAAAAAAAAAAAGTGTCCTCTTACCCCCCCCCCCCCCCCCCCCCCCCCCCCCCCCCCCCCCCCCCCCCCCCCCCGCTTATTCAGCGGTCGGCTGAGTCGTTGCGATTTTTTTGGGACCAAAAAAAAAAAAAAATGTGTCCTCTTACCCCCCCCCCGCTTATTCAGCGGCTGGCTGAGTCGTTGCGAAATTTTCGGACCGATTTATAAATGTTAAAACCCCCCCCTTGAAAAAATCCTGCGTACGCGCCTGGGTACATACGTGTACATCCGTAATTTATCCATCTCTATAAGGTATAACTTTTCAAGGATAGGTCGAAAGTAGACAATGTACAGGTGCATGAGGAAAGCAGACTGCGACATTGAAGGAGTCGAATTATATCAATGCCGAAAAGGTTTCTTGGCTTTACAAAAAGGAAGAAGTTTTTTCTCCTTGTAATCTAAACCCGGCATAATATATACGTGATTGATTCACGTCAGCTCCATACATGTGGTTTACGATCACGTTTAACGAGGAACAGAACTTCTGCATCAGTAATGCAAAACCTCCCTCCAATTATTGCAAACGAGAGGTACAATTTAAATCAAATAAAGTATACCAGTTATCAGAGATATCGTAAGTTAACGCCGACATTTATGTGATGTATAGGGTGACGGCAAGATAGCGCACGATCTCACGAACCACCAAGGGTTTGGGTACGAGAATAGATGAATCGTATATTATTAATCGAGTGAATTGTGTACCATGAATTTACTTGAATATATTGTATTAAATCACGATATAAATCTCGTCGGCCTAAAAGAATGCTCTTCTGCAAATCGAATATTAATACAAAGAAAAAACTACTTAAAGATGACATATACAGTGCGTCCCAGAAAAAACGAAACCGAGAATTATCGATGTTTTATCTTAACTTAATCACAATTATAATTGAGAAATGACACATATTTGTAAAGCTTAGATCCTCCTCTTTCATTTGATGTAACCCGTAAAATCTATATTTCACGCATGAGTGATTAAAATGAATTTGAAGAGAGGAAAACAAAAATTCATTTGGCGGACGGTATCTGAATTTCAAAGAGAAAATCATATTTCTAGAAAGTTGAGTTTCTGCCTTTTCTTATGACACCACAGTCAGGAAAAATGAGCTAGAAATGATAAAGTTCTGTTTGTTTAAAGTAGTGCTTACATTTCCATAATTTTATCAAACGAATTCGTTTTCACTGGTTGTCTGCTCTAGGAACAAACGGAATTAACAAAAGACTTAACTCCGTTTCGTTGACAATCAGCCGTAGACGAAAGACTTCATGCATGGCTGATTGTCAACGAAACGGAGTTAAGTCTTTAGTCAATTCAGCTTGTTGCTACGATAGGGAGCCAGTGAAAACTAATTCTTTTGATTAAATGGAAAGGCAAGCACTAGTTTAAACAAACAGAACTTTGTCATTCCTTGCTCATTTTTCATGATTGAGGTGTCATATGAAAGGGCAGAAACGTAGCTTTTTAGAAATGTGATTTTCAGTTGAAATTCAGATACTGCCCGCCAAATCACTTTTTGGTTTCCTCTCTTCATATTAATTTTAACCACTCATGCATGAAATATGCATCACATAAGTTGCATTAAATGAAAGAGGAGGATCTAAGCTTTCCAAATATGTGTCATTTACTAATTATAAATGTGACTAAGTTATGATAACCCATCGATAGTTCTCGGTTTCGTTTTTTCTGTGACGCACTGTATATAAAGGGAGAAAGTTAATACATAAAAAGGAATTACAAACATAAATATATATGATTTAAAGAGTGTCATATGAATGAAAAAGGAAAACAAAATTTAATCAAAAAGCTGACACATCAAATAAAAATAACAAAAATAGACATGTTTTAGTTATAAGTATGCAGTGGCGAAACCAGGATTGTCAAAAAGGAAGGGACCGCTAAAAAGAAATCACTCCTCAAAACACGACTTCGGGAATCCCAACGGTTGTCTCTAGTGGCAGTTCTGAAAGAGGGGTTCCCGGAATATACCGGTTTTTATGCCTCCGTTACGAAGTAGCCGGAGGCATTATGTTTTCGGGTTGTCCGTCCGTCCGTCCGTACGTCCCGTTCTCGTGATCGCGTTATCTGAAGAACCGATTGATGGATTCCTGCCAAACTTTGGTCATGTATGTATCTTGCAGAGCCGATGAACTGATTAGATTTTGGGGTCACGAGGTCAAAGGTCAAAGGTCACAGGGTTCATTATATATGCAAAAACAGCTCGTGATCGCGTTATCTCAAGAACCGATTGATGGATTCCTGCTAAACTTTGATCATGTATGTATCTTGCAGAGCCTATGAACTGATTAGATTTTGGGGTCACGAGGTCAAAGGTCACGGGGCTCATCATGTATGCAAAAACAGCTCGTGATCGCGTTATCTCAAGAGCCGATTTATGGATTCCTGCCAAACTTAGGTCATGTATAATTGCAGAGACGATGAACTGATTAGATTTTGGGGGTCATGAGGTCAAGGTCAAAGGTCATGCGGCTCATTATGTATGCAAAATAGCTTGTGATCGCATTTTCATTAGAACAGATTGATGGATTCCTGCTAAACTAAGATCATATATGTATCTTGCAGAGTCAATGAACTGAGTAGATTCTTGGGTCATGAGGTCAAAGGTCAAATGTCATGGGCTCATTATGTATGCAAAAATAGCTTGTGAACGCATTCTCATTAGAACTGACAGATGGATTACTATTTAACTCAGGACATCTTGCAGAGCCAATGAACTGAGTAGATTTTAGGGTCATGAGATCAAAGGTCAAAGGGTCATATATGTATATGAGAAATTGCTTGTAATCACGATATTCTGAGAACCTGTTAATGGATTACAATGAAACTTAAATTTGAAAAATTCCTTCTGTTTTGGTTTGTAAACTTGCTCTATGACGGAGGCATCATTTTCGACTGCGCGCAGTCGAAGTTCCATCTAGTTATTTTAAATCATGGGCATGGGGGCGTCAGCCGGTTAATTTCACCCTTTTGTGGATAAACCGCTTTTCTCACAATATTTTGACACTATTGTAATGCGACTTTAAAGCTTTTAGGCTGTCTATCGTGCCGCGTCGAGACAAAATCGACACGAACTTTCAACAACTCGTCAGCACTTTCTCTGAAGTTTATTATAAACAAATCACTCATGATGCGAAGGGGCAGGTTATCTTTGTTTAAAGATAGTAGCATTTATTGGGGTGAGTTTTATATTGTTTTGAAAACGTATAAGCTCGTAATGATATAATCTTTTTGATGGAATCCATCAATAAACTATTTTGTGATAATGCATAAATACTAACGTAATAATATACAACCGCAAATTATGTCTCCTGACCACCATGTTTCTGTTTTCAGCCTCTAATTTAATTGTCCTCTCATTGGTTTCAACTCTACTCCCTTTAACACATGTTGAATGCTTGTCTTGCTTTATGGGATAAGTAATGATTTTGATAAGAATGATTTACTAAATTCAAAATAAATAGAAATAGTGAAAAACGTTCACATGCCGACAAAAAGAACATAAATGACACGCAGAAAATATTTCAAATGATCTGAATGTCACTCACAGTGACAAAAACAATAAATATATGAAGTAAATGGGATCAAGAGCTGTCGGCGAAAGCAAAGGTAGAAATAGATATTATGGAGATAATTATGAAATGATGATATAATGCAGGACACTTTAATAGACAGAGATTGAATATAATAAAGTTTTAAATGCTGAAATCATGATAAACTCTGGCACTGTTTGAAAACAGATGCATAACTCATATTGAGAGGAAAAGGGTA